AAATCTTGCAATGGTCTAGGACACTCGAAGAAGTTTCTGAGGGCTTATGATCAAGAAAAATCACAGATCTTCCTGGGTCTGAGTAAGAACAATCTTCGGATTGTCACGGGGTTTTAACAGGACACTGTCTCCTCAATGAACACCTCAGTAGATTGAAACTAAGAAGAAACGGCGAATGCAGATTCTGTGGGGAAGATGGTGAAACACCAGTACACCTCATCACTGAGTGCGCCGAGACGACAACCATTCGTGCCATGAATTTTGGTACGACTGATATTGGAGATGGAGAACTACCCTCTATAAAACCGTCCCAGATACTGGCTTTTGTCAAAGCCCTGGGACTGTATGATGAGTTATGATTCAAGAAAGGGGGACACAATGGATCTGTAAGGTCGAAGTGATTAACCCCCCTCCCACTCATTCTAAATTCATTCTAAAAGAGTAATAACTTTTCATCCGTACCTGTATAAAACCTCTGAGTAAAAAAAGATACATTTACGACTTTTTTTACGTAAAAAAGGTCTCTTGGTAAAAATCGCTCCGAGTAAAGGTTGATTCTCAGTATACCTTCCATATCAGCTCCCTTCCGTTCCATATCCTTTCCTTCCATAATTTTTTTTGGCGGACGGACTGAAGCGTATCGGAAACAACGTTGTCAAGTTCTTTGTACCAGTTCTGTTAAAATTTTGCTGATATTTATTTATTCTTTCACCTCTTAATTAAATTATTACCTTTTTCAAAAGATACAAATTTTTAAAATAAAGCTTTCGTAATGATATAAATTTTACAATAAAAAGTATGGAACTGATACGGAACGGAAGCTTACGTATAACGTCAATACAATAAAAATACGGAACGAATATGAAAGGGATATGGAATGGAAACGGAAGGTATAGTGAGAATCAACCTTAACGGTTCTCAACATATTTGAAATAAAAATAATTATCAATACCTGTCATCATTGACATAAATTAGACATGTCGACTAAATAGTTTTTAGACTGAAATCATAAATTTGAAATGTTTTTGTGTCAAAAGTTCTATAGAAACTGTTTTATCATCATTTTTTCGCAGAAAAATTTATGATTAATTTAAAAAAATAAAAATTTCTTAAATTTATTATTTTAGTCAAATAACTATATCTACTCAACGGGTTGATTTTTTGACAATAATGACATGTATTGATTATTTCCGTTCTAAATATCTTGAAAACGGTTGCTCATAGCGATTTTTACCAAGAGACGCTTTTTTCGTAAAAAGTCACGGAAATATATATTTTTTCACCCAGTACTTTTATACAGGTACGGATGAAAAGTTATTACTCTTCAAAACAGTTAAAATACATGTAGGTGGCGCCCCCTACAAATAGGAGTCATATTGACATCAAAATCAAATTTCTCATGTCAAAAAAATCCCAGTCACCAATTTTCATCTAAATATTGACGTTACTTCAGAATTTATTTAGAAAAAATCGAAATAAAAATGAAACTTCTACACCCTGTATCTCCGAAACTAAGCATTTCAGGACATACATTCATAGGAACTTTTTTACTATTTTTATCTGCAGAATATGCTGTCGAAGTTTCCGGAATACAGTTCAGACCACCCTGTATATTACTTTTCAGAATAAATTTTTGTGCTGAGTTTAAAGGTAGTGAAATAAAGTTTACTGAAAAATTTTATAGCTATTTATATTATATTTATAGCTATACATATTAAATTTATACAGGGATGCCAAAAATTGTTGATCTATTTTAAATATTTATTTTACATAAAAACGTCGTTATTTCAAATGCAACACCCTGTATTTTTTTAAATAAATCGAAGCATATTTAATTGCTATTTTAAACTATAGTAGGGTTTCCTATACCTATCTAGCTCAGATTTTGAATAAAAAGCGATTTATCAATAAAATAGCAATCGAGATGGCTGGTGTTGCCATAGCAATTTCCTACTGTCAGTAACTATTTTCAAAATCGACATTAGTTTATGGACATTACTATTTAGATTTATAACAGAGTACTTAAATTTACCTACAATAGTTTAATAAGCAAGTATTCTGCTGTCGGAACGAATGGATATGTTACTAGTTTATTTTGTGAGGAAAATTGCTTCTTGACATCAAGGGCTTATGCTCAAAAATACACATATAGGAATATTCCTGATAAGCGTTCCTTTGAAAAACTACTTGTCTTACTTTATTTTGTAGGTTTTTCTTGCAGTGCAGTGGCGAAAAACCCATAAAGGATTTTTTTGGATAGATGAATCCGCCACATAGGTATAGACATTTTTTACTTGTCCTATTTCGCAGAGCTATACCGGGTGCGTCTCAAAAGTGGCTCACCCCCTATAACTTTTTTATTTTTTCAGATAAAACAACGAGATTTGGTATGTTAGTATATGACATAAATTAGGATTGATTGACATATTCAATTGTTTTCGGTCACTTCCGGTTTCACCGGAAATTACTACAACTTTTGATTTCTAAATGGCACCCGCGGTATTTTTTTACTTTATTCGACAGAAAATGACACTCTGAATAGAATGACATAGGTATCATATGTCAACTTTTGACATTTTCGCATATGGTTTATTGGAAATTGTAATCTGCGGTTCATAACGACAATTTGACTCAAAATACCAAGTATGTGGTATCAAATTATTCGTAAAAAAATGCTTTTTCCAAACATGCTAATGAGCCACGGTCGTTCCATTTGAAAAAATTGAGATATGATTAAAAATACGATTTAGGCATCTTTTAACCGGCCAGGAGATGACACTAAAAACATTAGACGATCAAATCTATTTTTCCAAGGCTCCTTGATTAAAAATTAGTGTTTTTAACACAGCTATGGCACTCTAGATTGAAATTTAAAATACAATTTGTTTTTGAGCGAATATGTCAAAGGTTGACATATGATATGTCATTCGATTTAGAGTGTCATTTTCTATCGAATAAAGTAAAAAATACCGAGGGTGCCATTTAAAAATCAAAAGTTGTAGTCATTTCCGGTGAAACAGGAAGTGACCGAAAACAATTGAATACGTCAATCAATCCTAATTTATGTCATATACTAACATACCAAATCTCGTTTATTTATTTGAAAAAATAAAAAAGTTATAGGAGTGAGCCACTTTTGAGACGCACCCGGTATAGTAGTGTGGTCTATGAAAAACCTATTAGGCAGAAACCTGTCATTGGAAGTGAAGAAAAAGAATTTTCCGTAATTGGCTATTTTGTAGAAAATCCATATATCTACAAGTCATCGTAACATAAGTCAAAGTACTACTTCTTGGTTTTTCTTGATAGAAGAATAAATACATATTTAATAAATATTATTAAATATGTATTTATTATTTTTATTTTCTAACTTCTTTCATCTAACTATTGTAGGTAAATTAAATAAAAGTAAACTGCTATAAATTTAAATAAAGTCCATACAAAAAACAAAACCAAACAAATTTCGATTTTGAAAATATCTACTAACTGTCACTAGAAGCTTGCCATGACGATATCAGCTAGTAGTGGGAACTATCGAATGAATACTATCGAAACATTCGATAGTTGCAATTCATTCGAATAATTCGATAGCTAGTAAGAAAACATTCGTCGAAAACTATTCGAATAAAAATTATCGAATAGATGCGTCATCTGCCTTGAAATATTGTATTCTAGTAATTCGGCAGCAAAAACCATTCATTTATAAAATTCATTCATTTATCAAATCCATTTATTCGTCAGGATCGATTTTAATGAAATATAAACTGGATTTTAGTTGTCGTCCGGCGACGTAGGTTTCTTTCCTAGAAACCCGACTGCGGTCGGTGGCAATGCTATGAAAGAAGCCGGCATCTTTGATTTTTTGCGGAGTCAAATAAAAATAAGGACACATTATTTTTTTTATTGAGGTGCTAGTATTTACACAGAAATTACATTAAGGGGTTGAACATGAAGGGCGCTGTTGCCATATATTCGTATTAGTTGGTATTAGCAAAGAATATTATTCTTTAGCATTAGTTAGTTAGGGATAGTATGTCTATATGTTTTGCATTTTTTTATTAATATTCTGTTGTTACACTGCAATAATACTTTTTATTTTGGATGTAGAAAAATGGTTTTTAATGTTTTAAACCGAAGACTTGTTTAATAAATAATAATAACAGTAATAATTTGTTATACCAATTAACAACAAAATTTAAAATCATTTAATAATATAAACATTTTTTTTAAGTAGTAGCAACATATAAACAACAAATAGAAGTCAAAAGTATTTATATTAGATCCTATTTAAAAATAATATAGTCTCTAAATGTGGCAACGTTGGTTTATTAAATAATAATAATTACAGAACTAATTTGTTATATTAACAACAAATATTAAAATCATGAAATATAAACATTTATTAATTTTCTAAGCATGCAGTGTAATGGAAGGAAAATATAAATAAAAAATTAGAAATCAAAATTATTTATATTACTTTATATTACTATTTAAAATAATATTTATTTTTACTGGCATTTACATTAAAAAATAAATGTAGTACAGTAGTTCTTTATTACTCTGGCTTAAAAGTCAGCACAAGAATTAATTCTGAAAAGCAAAGTACAGGGCGTTAATAATATATTCTATTGTAGGATGCATTGTGTATGTTTATATTTTTTATATCTTGTCTTTATATATGTTTACATTTTTATATCTTTAAATATCTCAAAAATCAAAGATTTTAAACATATGTAACCCTTATAATAAATAATAAATACCTTTTTTTGGGCACAAGAATCCAAAAATTAAATAACATACCGGGTGTTCCGTAAGAAAAATATAACTTTGGTATGGATCTTAGTTCTGAAACGCCCTGCGTATTCGTCTCCCACTTCATAATCCTCACCCCAACATATACCCATAAAATATTTTGTTTCTACATCTTTCCGTTTTCGTATAATCAACCTAGGCGAATGAGGTGCGCCACCCTGTATTATGACAGAGCCTAATAATTTTAGAGTTAAAACGAAAATTGGAAGAACTAGAAATTGGGAGATTAGGTCAGAAAGAAACAGTCCACGATTTAGAACTGGAAAATATGTGTGTAGAAAACCAAGAAAAGATTAAAGAAGAACAACTCCATAGAGCTGAAAAGCAAGTACGGAAAATTTTAAAATCTCTAAGAGATAAAGACTTAGCTGCTTATGATGTAAGTATTTAATACAAATTTATCTTTATCATATCTCTATCTTTAACTGATAAATAATTTCTTTACAATTTTTTTCTGTAAAATGGTTGGATACTTCGCCACTAAAACAGAAACATAAATACCTATGATAAATACTATGAGAGGATAAAATATAATTTGCAACAATAATGGTATACTTTTCTTAATGAACTAGTGATTTGTAAAATCGTTATTTTTGGGGCTTACTCAACCGGGTCTCACAATGCAAATTCACCCCAAATATCCATTTAGTTGGTCATTGGCAAGCACTCTCTCATTGTACATGAAAATAACAAAACAAACATTTACTGATCTGGGTAAAATTGATAGTTAAATAGTAAGACTCACCCGGGGGTACTCCGCCCCCTAGCCACTGACATCACTGACATTCTATTCAATATATCCCATTCCATATCTTCCATCTAATTCAAATATTATTCGGATCTATTGGTTAATAATCTTCAACAACTAGCTAGTGTCACCTGAAATAGTATAGGGGCTTCCCGCGGACGCAAATCTGTCGTTAAACAGATTCGCATCCCAATCGATGGGGTTAATTGGGGTCCTCACACAACGCCCCAGCGGTGTCAATCGAGAAGCAAGAGAGACCTCAAACTCTCAAGACCATCCTCGAAGGAACGACGTCACAAGAGGTTTTCTACTTCCATAGTCAAAAGACTCGCTACTTCCAAATGTCAGCTCTGTGACAAAACACAACACTACACAGCCGGCCGCCCTATCAACAACTGACTGGCCTGCCGAGCTCAGCCTCCTCTTACATCACAATTTTACCTGATCACAAATATTTACATCGCTTGCCAATGAATCATACTGTTTTTTCTAATCGACTTTCAAATAGAGTGTTTTAGCATTACCAAATAAATAAATAGAGAGTTTCCGAAGGAATGCATATTGTTTATTAGAATAGTGAATAAATAAAAGCATTATTATGACGAACTTATTTTCCAAGTTTTACAGATTAAATGTTTTATGAACATCTTCTCGAATTAAATGACGATCGATGATATTTTCCATATAAAATGACAACGATCTTCATTTCATAGCCATCGTTGACGCCGTTTTTATTCGATCATACGGTAGATTATAATGGAATTAGAGACACGTTTTAAAATAGCCAAAATTTGTTTTTTTTCGTAATATCTAGTAAGCCTTGAACTTCACCGAAAAATCCGAAAAAGCATATTTAAGACCCCACAAAACTGCAGTTCTTTCCCATTTAACCGACTCTCTGTCTCCAGTAGTTTCTGAGATACCCATAGCGAACATCGTAGGAAACTCACCCTGTATAGTATTTAGAAACTAACTATTATTATTATTTGACTAGATTTATTTGATTAATAAGACTCGATTAATTTATTTTAAAATAAATTTGATCAGATTTTTTTTTCGTATGTTCTACTACCAGAAAACCAAAATTATATGATAAGCACTTTTCAACGAAGTTGAAAGAAGATATAGTGTATCTATCACAATACTTAATAGAATTACTACAATTAGAAGAAAAACAAAAAGAAAAAATACCCAAATACCTTCACCTACTACTCATCTACAAAATAAACGAATATAATCTCTTATAAAAACACTACACAACTACTTCTTGTACTTTACACTGAAAAAATGATCAAACTTATTAATTAACCAAACAAAAAGAAAAAATAACCAAATTATCCCTTCAAGTCATCCTACTACTTAACTACAAAATAATAAACTATAAAAACACTACTAAACTAATTCTGGTATTCTACACTAAACATTATAATTAAACTTAATAAAATTAATCTAATTTTATACTACAACCACAACAACTACAAAGAAATAAGAACATTTTTTAAAACAGAACTTCGATACGTGCGACCAGTATAATAGATCAAGCTGACAAAGAATATAAAATACTTTAAAAATGTGCATTCGGAAAGAAAAAATATCTCGAAAATTATCTAAACAAACAATTTTTTTTATCAGTGAAAAGCATCGGCCTCGTCGGCCTTGCGGAATTTGTCGGGTATTTACAATGGTCGAATTGAATAATTACCAGCTTTTATAGCATATCTAATAGACAAAAAGTATCTGGTCGATTGGTAACCAATTGGCACAGTCCGAAAATTATCGATTTTTATTTTCTCTGTTTTTATTGGTCGCTTCAAAATTCAGAGTAACAAAAAATATTTTTCTCTAGTAAAAGACTGTGAAATACGCCCCGCCATCTGGTGCTTTACATCCATAAACGTCTTAGGTTGAGCTACTTTAAAAATTCATATACAAGGGTACTACCTACTACCGTTATAGTATCTACGCTTAATGTCCCCGAAATGTATCTTTGTAATATAAAACTGGTTCGAATGAGGCAAAAGCCTAACCTTTAGAAAATACAATTTGACAAAATTATAGCATGACAATTAAGGGTACATTGGCATTTGCCTAGTTTTGCATTTTACCTTTGTTCAGTTTTAATTTAAATATAGATGCAGTTTTTGTCCAATATTGTTCAAATTTGCCATGTGTATTCAGCATACTTTAAAAAAAATACAACTGCTGTAAAATTAATTAACAGGGGAGCCAATATCTGAACAGATCAAAATTTGCATGGGATTTCCTATGTGTCAACGACGAATATTTAGCGACATTTAAGCTGTAGTATATTTTTTCTTCAATTTATATTTCAGTTATAACTTATAACAAAAAGAAGTGGAGTCGATATATTTCATCGATAGATCTTCTTCAGCTCAAGCAGATATGTTATTTCATAAAATATAGAAAAAATCTAGTAATAATATAAATGGCGTTCCATTAAAAAAGTGTCGATAAACTCGTTTTTTCAAAAGTAATGATTTTAATTTTTCTTAAAGTAGTTTTTTAGTTAGTATTTTATACAGTTGTGTTTTATCCATAAATTCTTTATTATACATTCTACAGTATGTTCCCGGATTGTATTTACAAGAGGAAAAACTGTTTTATTGTTGACATTTTGAGAAAAATGAATTCTTAATAAAAATTTTTGCTTATTCTAAAATGATTAATCCTGTTTACACTTTTCCAAATTTCTATACCGTTTTAGAGAAAATTAAAAAAAAAACATAAAAATATAGTTGAATTTTTGTGTAGTCCTAAAAATCAAAACGCGGGTCTATGGTATATAATTTCGTTTGCATTATTTGATAGACTTTTATTGATAGAATTCATAGATAAATGAAACAAGTTTAGATTGGAAAGTGCTCATAAAGTGCATCCTTACAACGGTCGCCATCCAAAGCTTTTGATAATTTCGGAGCGTTTGGTTTTTTTCCGGAATTATGTCGCCAAATATTGTTTATTCAAATTTATTATTTTCTTTTAATTTTATAAATAAAGTACAGTGTAGCCGTTGGATTGGAAACCGACGTTATGCCACGATGGTTTTTGCAGTTCACAGTTCACACAGCTTTTTAAGTTTTTTTAATGCCACTTTTTCACGATTATCACGGGTTTCAGTAAATAAAGTTTAAATTAAACTCACAAGATAGTAATAATTACTTTGAAAATGGCCGCTTTAAACACTTTTCATTATTCTTTCAATGAGGACGGTTTAAATTTTGAAAATTTTTATAATTTTTGAAGATTCTGACTTTGACAAGAAGAGAAAGTTATTTCTGTTCTTGTTTGTGGCTGTTCTTAGCAACCGCTATAGCAGCGCCAGATCGCGTATAACGTACGCGATCCAAAACATATATATTTTGACGGCCATTTCAATTTAATATTTATTTTTCTTTATGATATTTAGAATTTTCTTCAATGCTACCGAAAAAGTGATAATAGTTATAGGAAAATTTGATACTTTAACAGCAAAAAATATGACGTTAATCAAAATTAATAATAACCATCTATCAAAGAATGAAATCTAAATTAAATTACCATAGGAACGACTTTTGATTTTTAGGATTTAGAAAAAAATTAACCTTAATTTCATGTTTTTCTTAATTTTCTAATAACCATTTTAGAATAAGCAAATTTTTTTATGAAGAATGCATTTTTCTCATAATGTCAATAATAAAAAAGTTTTTCCTCTTATAAAGACAATCCGGGGACATTATGTATAGATGTCCGAGGCACTGTTGCAAGGATCCTGAATATTATATTTATACGTTCGTCTTTATAGTATTTAATGAATTGTATGCATAGTAATTACCGTAATAATATGATTAATAATGTTATTTATTTTTCAGTTCGACTTGGAAATACGCCATTTAAAAAGCGCAAATTCTGAGGTTACTAAAAAGTTATATATTATGACTACTGACTATCCGGACGTGGCTCCTAATATTATACGTTATACAGCAGAAGAAAATATAGACTTAAAATCGCAGTACAGTCTTAGTTCACTTTCATATTCAACAGATTCGTCATGTCGTAGCAGTGATACTTCGTCATGTCGTAGCAGTGATACTTCTAACAATTTAGATCTTCAAATGCATCATATTGCAATGAAAAAAGTTGAGATTTCATTTAATAACGAATAAACATATATTACTGTAAACATTGTTTAATTCCAAATTACAGATTATTTTAAGCATTGTTTGGTTTGCACTCTATAACCTTACTCCATTCCCGGAGGTAGAGGTTCTAAATTAGTTGCTGGCGTGGAAGGCACGGAATGTGTTTCTTCTGCAATCTGGAAAATTAAAAAAATATAGCTTGAAAAATTAGACCTATGTACAGGGTGTCCCACTAAGAATAACTCTCGGCTGTATCTCGGAAAATATTAGCTGTAGAGCCTACGGAAAAAAATATTTATGATTAAAGAGGCTATGAGAAATTGCTGGAAATTATTTTCAAGTTTGTAGAACGGCCGCTAAAGGGCGCAACTTCTATAAAGAATAAGAAAATGGAGTTTTTACACAATTTTGACTAGATAACGGGTACTGTAAATAATAGCTTTATAATCTTCAGTAAATTTTTAATATTTTTTACTAGAACCATTTTCCCCTATCTGCCAAAATAAAGTGGCGGGGGAAGGTTAAATCTGTTTGTATTTAAATATTAATAACTCCGGACTTGATAAACGGAATCCAACAAACGGGGGCTCGTTTAAAAGAGAGTTTCTTACTCTATATTATACCGTATAAACAATAATAATAAAATTTTGAATGCAGACACTAGGTGGCGCTGTCTTGCAATTTAACAAACATTGCGTTTTTTTCAAAAAAAAATTAAATGCGATAGTATATTATGTAATTTTAGCTGATAGTACAGAGTAATAAAAGCTTAAAAAGCCAGGGAAAACCGCATCTTGATATCTTCTTTCAAACCGAAGATATTAGCAAAATTATAATAAATACGAGAAAATAAGCCCTTAGTTACCTTATTTTTATAACACGATTACAGTAGGCCTCTTAGATATCAATGACAGTTAATAAGAAATGACGCCTCAATGAAGTCATGGTAGGCTTTGGAAAAAAGTTGCTTTTGACGTAATAGTGTGTTTGACGTCAAAATGTTATTAGATCAACATTTTGATAGTCTTAGCAGCGTTTTTTCTCTATTGAATAAAGGAATTTTTAAAAAAGATAAAAAAACGCTGCTGAAACTATCAAAGTGTTGATATAATAATATTTTGATTTTTAAACTATCCCTCTAAAAGCAACTTTTTTCCAAAGCCTACCATGAATTTACTGAGAGTATATGGTATACAGGGTTGTTCACCACATACGACACGGAGTATTGTAGCTAAACAATTATATTTTTACAAATTTCAAGTTTTGGGTTCGATGAAGGACTATTAGAGGTACAATTTAAAAATAATTTGACAAGATACAGAGTGTCCCAAATAAGTAAAAAATATCAAAGTTGTATTTTTTTAAATGGAACACCCTGTATATTATTACATTTTTGGTTTCTACGATTAAAATAAAGGTAAACTTGATTAAGGTTTATTATACTTAAACATTACCGTTTTTGAAATATTTTCAATTTTGGGAAATTGCAGTAAAAATTTTAAGGCTTCATTTCTCCAAGGGTATCAAAGTTTTTAATACTAAATATTTACTGAAGTTTATTTATTGATCAGTTATTGTGTTGCAATAATAAAAATAATACTACCTTATACAGAGTGTCTAAAAATTTATTTTAAATAATTTCTAGCTTTAAACGCCAATAACTTCTTTAATTTAAATGGGACGCCCTGTATATTTTAGGAGAATCAGATGCACAATTTAATTGTCTATCAAATTGTATTATACCATTTTTTACCTATCCCTTCAAGTTTTCGTAGAAAATGCATTTTCTTATAATTTAGACCCTATTTATCAATATACCCATGGAATATTGACATTTTAGATTGTTTTAAAGCAACAAATGTACAAAATGTACAGGCTAGTAATATTATCGTTTTAGCAAAACGATAATATTACTAGCCCATTTGTATGCAAAAGAAAACTATTTAAATCTTTATAAAAGAGTATACCATAATTAAATATAACACCATTATTTCCGCCCATATACTAATTAATTACATACTTAATTGTGTTCGTTAATAAATTATTCTAAATAAATGTGGATTTGAGTCAGAAATCAATATAATAATAAGTTATCAAATTAAAGTCTCTGTTGTTATAAATAAGTATTTATTAAAAAATGAAATATCATTTTTAAGGTGTTTCTTTTTATCACACTGTCTAATACCCATACAAAATTCAATTTTTTAGTATTTGGAGCAATTATTATTAATCAACGCAAACAGTCAGTTAATGTAGTTTGAATACTGGAATCATATTAATTGGTCCCCTTTAACAAATATTTAAACAGTTTTTTTATTTTTTAATAAAATAAACAAATTATATCGACAATATTAGTATCTGTACTCTTTAAAAATTTGGTACATCTTTAAAAATAATCTAAAATGTCAATATTCCATGGGTATATTGATAAATAAGTTCTAAATTACAAGAAAATGCATTTTCTTCGGAAACTTAAAGAGATAGGTAAAAAATGGTATAATGTAATTTGATAGACAATTAAATTGTGCATCTGATTCTCGTAAAATATACAAGGTGTTCCGTTTAAATTAAACAAGTTATTGCCGTTTGAAGCTAATAATTATTTAAAATAAATTTTTAGGCACTCTGTATAAGGTACTATTATTTTTATTATTGCAACAAAATAACTGATCAATAAATAAACTTCAGTAAATATTTAGTATCAAAAACTTTGATACCCTTGGAGAAATGAAGCCTTAAAATTTTTACTGCAATTTCACAAAATTAAAATATTTCAAAAACGGTAAGGTTTAAGTATAATAAACCTTAATCAAATTTACCTTTATTTTAATCGTAGAAACTAAAAATGAAATAATATACAGCGTGTTCCATTTAAAAAAATACAACTTTGATATTTTTTACTTATTTGGGACACTCTGTATCTTGTAAAATTATTTTTAAATTGTACCTCTAATAGTCCTTCATCGAACCCAAAACTTACAATTTGTAAAAATCTCATCGTTTAGCTACAATACTCCGTGTCGTATGTGGTGAACAACCCTGTTATAGTATTATGGTATTCTGGTTCACTGACGATTTTTTGAATAAAATCATCTTTATTATCTTATTTTACTTAAAATAAGGTAATTAAGGGCTATATTTCCGTATATATTATAATTTTGCTAATAACTTTGGTTTGAAAAAAGATATCAAGATGCGGTTTTGTTAAGCTTTTATTACTCTTTAGTATGAGCTAAAATTAATAATGCCGTACAGTATATGTAATTGAAATTACATATACTGTCGCATTTATTTTTTTTTTCAAAAAAACGCGTAATTTTTGTTAAATTGTAAGACAGCCCCCCAAGCGTCTACGTTCAAAAGGTTATTTTTATTGTTTATGTGGTATAATATAGAGTAAGAAACGCTCTTTTAAACGAGCTCTCATTTGTTGGATTCTGATCATCCAGTCCGGAGTTATTAACAATTAAATAAAGATAGATCTAACCTTCCCCCACCACTTTATTTTAGCAGATAGGGGAAAATGGTTCTAACAAAAAAGATCCAAAATTTACTGAAGATTATGAAGCTATTATTATTTATAGTACATCGTATCTAGGCAAAATTTCTTAAAAATTCCATTTTGTTATTTTCCATAGCAGTTACGCCCTCTAGCCGCCGTCCTACAAACTTGAAAATAATTTCCAGCAATTTCTCATGGTCTCTTTAGTTATAAATATTGTTTTAAATTATTATAAATAATTATTTATTTTTTATTTAAAAATGATTATTTATAAAAATAAATTTATTTATAATTTATTATTTATAAAATGACAGCGATCTTCATTTCATAGCCATCGCTGACGCCGTTTTTATTCGATCATACGGTACTTTCCGAGATACAACCGAGAGCTATTCTTAGTGGGACACCCTGTACAAACCAGTTATTGATAGCTGATAACAGTAGCTTGCAATGAATAAAAATACAGAAGACACAAAAACTCCAAATAAAACTAAATGCCTAAATAAAAATAACATAATTACCATCAAATTTGGTTCCGAACCAGATGAATTAATAGATACAGGCTGCGGAGTTGTTGGTGGAATAGACGTCGAGTTTGTTATCGGAGGTGAGTCGAGGATAATCTCCTGCACTGCTAAAGGTATATGCATTCGTTGTGTTTCGCTAAACGAATTCAAATGCTCCTTAAGCGGTATTTTCAAATCGGGACAAGTGTTTAATACTTCAATAAGTTGAGGAGCTGGTAATTGCATAAGTACCGCAAAACTTTGTGGTTTTGTTCTTTGACAGCATTTAATAAATCCTTCCCAAACTACCTTTTGCTTCCAAACCTAAAACATATTATTTAAATATAATTTGTGTTTCAACGGATCTTATGACTTATAAGCGTCTTTAAACTAGTGAAGGGATCACTCGAGTGAAAAATACTCGGTCACCCGAGTATTCATATCCTCGGTATGTCTCGAGTATTTTTGATTTATTACTCGGCACGCAACTAACATCGAGTGTAGCGTACCGTCCTCGCTACTCGCGAGGATACAGGTGATTTACGATTTATGCTGAAACCTTTTTGTGTCGATTCTCGAGGATTACTCGGCACGCAACTAACGTTGGGTGTGACATACCGTCCTCGCTGCTCGCGAGGATACAAGGCGATTTAGCTGAAACCTTTTATATAGAGGATAGAGGATAACCGTTTAATCACTTGCTCGTATATCGCTCGCTATATTAATCGGTTTTCAGAGTAGTAACCTGCATTTTTGAACAGAAATACATTACTTATTTTTGTTTTCTTTACTTTAGATGTTTAGATGGGATATATTAATTATATTTCTTTAAATTATAAAGATTTTTTCTCCATACTTTTTATTATATAGTTTTTTAACTATTAATATAATAATATAATGTTTTTTTTTCTGTGTAATAATTCAGAATTGTAATTGTCAGTTTTCGACTTTCAAAATTCCATTTGACAAAACCACAGTTGTTTATTTAGGTTAAGGCTTTGGAGATTTTGCTTTATTTGCATTTTTAATTTTCATTTTACGTTTTTTCTTGTAAAAAACCTTTGCTTGTAGGAGGGGTATATAAAGGATTCACTAAAAACCCAGTTTTTACCACAATAAAAAGAGGTTGAAAATCTGAAACAATCATCATTAACAATTTTTTTTCTGTTATTAGTTAAGCTGTGCCCAAACAATAGACTTTAAAACTGGGCATTATGTCGCACAAAAACTTAAAATATGCACAATAACACAGTACTACCACAATTTATTAGGTACTACAGTTTATTTTCGGTAAAAATGCGCTATTAAAAAGTAATACAAAATATATTTTTTATCTCAGTGACCGACCGTCGACAAATAAACAATAAATAACGAGCCCTTTAAAAAAAAAGCCGCCCGTATTTCCTAGAATTACTTGATTTCATTTGGCCTGAAAGGTTGCCAGATTAGTCACAAAAATCGGAGTTAAAGAAGCAAAATCAGTACAATTTAAAGCAAAACCAATAAAAATTTTATTTCCCACATGAAATTACACGAAAATATTAAAAAAGTGTTTAATATAATTATTTATTTTTATTACAATATTATTCAAGTCATTCAAGTACATGGCAATAATGTGTTAAAAACGGCAAGCAAAATCACTCACACCCAGCGCCGGGTATTATTCAGGTTTCGAACGAGATATTATACAGAGAAAATTTTATGACCGAGGATTCCTCGGATGATCATCCGATTTTTGGAATCTTCGAGGATCAATATTCGAGTATTAAAATCATCCGATTTTTCCCAACACTACTTTAAACTATCTTCGATTATTCTTTTTCTCTTCAAAATAATTCGTTCAAAATTTCGACATAAACATCACAATGATTTAACAAATATAATCTATCCAACCTGAGAATATGTGACTGTGACAGTTGTTGTCTACGATATTCAAAAATAAATTTATTTAGCTGTCAATTTTTAGACGTCCTCATTTTGAGATAGCAATTGTTTAAAGAAGTACGCGCGAAAAATCACTTTCGCATATAAATGGCGAAATGCATCAAAATAACCAGATAGTCTATAAATTAGCCCTGTAAACACTTTAACCGTAACTAGTAGTTTGACTTGTCTAAACAAATTGAGCGGTGTCGTATACACTTGTATGCAGATAATGTGCAACTATATCTGAAATATTGCATTGAGGAAGCTAAAAACACTAGGTGCGATCAATAACGGCATGCACTTCTTCTGGTGTGAAGAACATTAGATGAGGATAAATTCAGGCGAAATCATGACTCTTTGTATTGGCCATAAAAAAACTAACTTATGTGGCACCCAGTCTAAATTTAAGTATTGACAATGTTATACTTGAGTGGACTAGTAGTATGAAGAATCTGGGCGTAGATTTGGATGATGAACATACCACAGTGATTTTTTCGAATCACTGTGGTAAGTTTTATCAATTGTCTAAAAACCACCTGAATAAGTCTACTTTTTACTGATTTCTACTACGTTCTTACCTAAATATAATAAGCAAAGAATACAAAGAATTCAGACTGCTAGTATGAGATTTGTGTGCAATTTATTATATGGAGATCACATACTTTTTAATCTAAATGTTTAAAAGAACCACAGAGAAATGCGTGAAAGATTGGAATATTTATATGCGATCCCATTTATACAGGGTGGTCCGAACTGTATTCCGGAAACTTCGGCAGCATATTCTGCAGATAAAAATATGTAAACAAGATCGTATAAATATATGTCCTAAAATATTTAGTTTCGGAGATACAGGGTGTAGAAGTTTCATTTTTATTTTGATTTTTTTCCAAATAATTTCTGTCAAAAAGTAAACCAAATCAAAATTTGGATGAAAATTGGTGTCTGGGAGTTTTTTGACATGAGAAATTTGACTTTGATGTCAATATGACTCCTATTTGTAGGGGGCGCCACCTACATGTGTTTTAACAATTTTGAAGAGTAATGACTTTTCTTCCGTACCTGTAATAAAACTACTGAGTGAAAAAAATATAACATTTCCGGGACTTTTTACCTAAAAATGTGCCTTAGTAAAAATCGCTACGAGCAACCGTTCTCAAGATATTTAGAATGGAAATAGTCAATACATGTCATTATTAACAAAAAATAAACATACTGATTTTTTTTGTGAGAAATTAAGAGTAAGTTGCTTTGTAATCATTTTTCTTTCGTACCTGTATGAAACTACTGAGTGAAAAAATATACATTTCCGTGACTTTTTACGTAAAAAATGTGTCTTGGTAAAAACTGAAAACAACTAACAAGCAACTTTTTTACTTAGTTTTATATGCGGAATATGCTGCCGAAGTTTCTGGAATACAATTCGGACCACCCTGTATAAAAATATTTAATAATAAAGTACCCATGTTAATTAATTATTAACTTTAAATTTTTAATTAATAATAAAAAGATCTCAAATTCATAGTGAACATTATAATGAATTCATTAGTAGTACCTCAACGCAATACATCAAAATATAAAGGCTTTGTCCTATATGGTTCCTACCCTATTGAACGAATTTATAGATGTAAATGTAGAGAAAATAATGTACGATGTAAATGCAGAAAATAAGGTACGAACTAAAATTGGAACGTCACTGTATATTATTTAATACCTAGTTTGGTTGAGAGTACAGTTTTAGCATAGTAGAAGGAAAAGAGTAATTGCACTCTCCAAGCACGCAAATATTTTCTGCTAGTTTTTAAAATCTGTCGAATATCTGCAGATTGCAGAGCGTTTCAGTTGAGTTACGTCCGTCGACCTGCAAGGTTCGAGCGTTAGGTCCCAGCACAGAGACGGATTGACAAAAAATGAGTGTCTTACTGTGTGCTGCTATTGGTTGTAGTAATAATTCAAAAAATTGTGCTTTGAGTTTTTTGGCGTCATTTGTGATCATTTTTTGTGTTCAGGTTAATTTTCTCATGATTACTAGTTAATAATTAGATATTATTTTCATTTAAACCTCAAGTTTTTATCGGTTTTACTTTTGACAACAATCCCTTGCTTACTGTTTAACGAACTGCACTATCATTGAACAAAAATTTGCTAGTACCGAAAAAAACCCTGGAAATCCCGGTTCCTTAGAGGCATGGTACCAAAAATACCGGTTCCGAAAAACAGATCCGGTTCCGGAAACGCTATAACTTACTATAATCGTGAATCGCCCTATACAGGGTAAGTCTTAAATAAGTGCAAATATTTTTAAGGGTAGTATATTTTGGCCCCAGAAATATAAGGATTTTTCTGCGCAATTTTTTTATTGAAAAAAAAACTGAAAATGTTTTTAGTTTTTAGTTAAAAAACACAATTTCTTGATAATATGGTAATTAGAGTTCAGAACTGGAAATTCCCGGTTCTTTTCAGATACCAAAGAACCGGGACTCGAAATTATTAATTCCCGGTTCTTTCGATACCTTCGGGACTCGGTAACAGTAACTAGAAAATTATTCTTTTATTATGTGAGAAAGTAGTGATGCTATTTCTCATTGTTCTTGCTTCTTTTCTCTTTTGAAATTTCTGTAATGTTTATTAGCAATTATTGAAGTTTAAATATGTTATTTTATTATTTAGTACAATGTCTTGTTCAATGTATTAGTTAACCAATGAAAATCACCTAACCAATACATTACTACAAAACAAACACATTAATGTTAAAATTAAATTTGTTTTAAATTTAAAAAAAGTTATAGAAAATCTTTGCAATAGAAAATAATATAAAAATATGCCATTATATATTTTTTCCACATTTCTTCCTATCAGAAGATTTATAGATACAGAAGAATTGTTACTTACACGAAATGTGAAAATATTCTGTTTTCAAGCAAATTTTTACTTGATGATCAATTTTTTTTATTTTATTTTATTTTGAACTCATATTTTCCTAAATACATCTCTGTGAAACTATGGCGAGTGCCACGACTATACTTTGCCTAGTTATAGACCACGACTATACAGCTACGTCAGTGGTCACGGGACGTGAGAACAAGGTCATATAAAGTGGCAGAAAAAGAACAAAGGATTTGACAAGGAGTAAAGCTACTAGTTCCTTATACTATGGTTTTAGTTTACAATTTGACATTTAAGTTTACAGGGTGTTTCAAAAAACATGTGCCATCTCTCGAGGCGAGATTCCTCACGTAAAAAATAAGATTTATTTTTCCTATCAACATAGATCCAATTTTGTTTTGTTTCGTAGCTACGGGATGTTAAAGTCTTAATAATCTTTCGATTTATTATAATTTTCTTCCAAGTACTTTTAGTGATTCGAATGAAATTTTGAGGGTAAAAGTATACAATAAAACTGCATATTTTAATGCTAAAAAAGTGTCGATAAATTCATCAAGGATGTGCATATGGGTTATCACTGGAACTTTTTTTTTGGTCATGGCTAGATAATCTTAGAGTCAGAATATTAGGCTAGTTTTTCTTTATGGTACAATTTTGTTCAGATATTTGTTTATATTAAAAAATGTCTATACCTCTGTGGCGGATTTATCTGTCCAAAATAAAATAGTTATTTTTTTGTAAACACTGATACCTTAATTCAAGGGAGACTAATTGTCTGCAGTGGTTTACTATGTTCTATACAGGGTGTTTCACAAAACGTGCCATCTGTCGTGGGGAGATCCCTGACGTAAAAATAAGATTTATTTTTCATATCAACATATAGTACGAGAGCTAGCAACGTCGGAAAAACAAGTATTTTAAGACGTCTGGCTCTTTGATATATCTTTTACTATGCTCTCTAGAACAGCATGCGGCCCGTCTGGCTGCTGGTAAACGTTGCGTTCCCTACTGCGCATTGAAAGAAGATCCTATATTTTTATGAGTCCTTTAAATTCTAGTATTGAATATAAATCGAACATGTCTCCATAGCGCAGTGCTTAGAGTTTCCGACCACGAACCGATGATTCACAGTTCGAATCCGGGTCAGGGCAAAGACTTTTTAGTTTATTTTCGTTTAGATTCTGTTAGTAAAGTATTAAATATTTGTTTTTTTTAATCACCAAAATTATTTAATACTTTACTGTCAGAATATAAAGGAAAATAAAAAAGTCTTTGTCCTGACCCGGATTCGAACTCTGAATCATCGGTTCGTGGTCGAAAACTCTACGCACTGCGCTATGGAGACATGTTCGATTTATATTCAATATTAGAATTTATAGGCCTAAATTAATAAAAAATATAGGATCTTATTCCAATGCGCAGTAGTGAACGCAACGGATATCGGCAGCCATACGGGCGGCATGCTGTTCCAGAGAGCATAGTAAAAGATATATCAAAGAGCCAGACGTCTTAAAATACTTTCTCGAAAACGTGGCTAGCTCTTAGACTAATAGGTTCAATTCTGCTTATTTCGTAGCTACAGGGTGTTAAAGTCTTAATATTTTTTTCGATTTGTTATATATTTATTTGTTATAAAGTACTTTTAACGTTTTGAATGAAATTTTCAGGACAAAAGTTACTATAAATGCGATATATTTTAAAGCTAAAAAAGTGTCGACGTATTCACCAGCGACGTGCATATGGGTTATCATCGGAAAATAATTGTAAAAAAGCATGTACGCCACTGACTTTTTTTTCACTTGTTAGCGAAATAGTGTAAGCAGTTTAATTCCGATTAAAAGTTATTCCTTGATATCTTGTCGATATCGGCCTTTTTGATGAGATAAACGCAATTGTATTGATTTGCATTGATCCCAGTGTAATAGCAACGTTAAAAAAATAATATTATTAACTTACGAAAGTTTTAAATAAGTACTCATTGATTCCTTTTCAAAAAATATGAAAAAAAGTTCCTATAAATATGGGTATGGAAATGCATAGTTTTAGAGTTGCAGGATGTTAAATCTTTTTAAAATTAGTTTTTTTGTTATTATCTTAAATTCCATTATTTTTTTATTTGAAATTGCTGTAGGTTCGACTAATACTAATAATATTTAATAATAAATTAGGTAAAATATATAATTTATTAATTTTATTTTTATTTAAATGTTATTAATTGTGATTAATAAAATTGCGTTTATCTCATCAAGGATGCCGAATTCGACAAAATATCAAGAGATAACTTTTACTTGGCATTAAACGACCTATACAATTTTGATATCAAAAGAAAACGCACATGTTTCTTTTTTGAAAAAATATTCCAGTGATAACCCATATGCACATCCTTGATGAATTTATCGACACTTTTTTAGCATTAAAACTGCATATTTTAATGCTAAAAAAGTGTCGATAAATTCATCAAGGATGTGCATATGGGTTATCACTGGAATATTTTTTCAAAAAAAACATGTGACCATGATATCAAAAATGTATAGATCGTTTAAAAAAAACAATGCTTGATCTCTTGATATTTTGTCGAGAATTCGGCATCCTGATGAATAAACACAATTTTATTAATCACAATTAATATTATTTAAATAAAAATAAAATTAATAAATTATATATTTTACCTAATTTATTCAAATATTATTAGTAGTAGTCGACCTACTGGCAATTTCAAATAAAAAATAATGGAATTTAGATAATAACAAAAACTGAATTTTAAAAAGATTTAACATCCTGCAACTCTTCAACTATATCCATACCCATATTTAGAGGAACTTTTTTTCATATTTTTGAAAAGAATCAATGATATTTCTATTTAAAACTTTCGTAGTTAATAATATTATGACACAACGTTGCTATTACACTGGGATCAATGCAAATCAATACAATTGCGTTTATCCTCATCAAAAGCCGATATCGACTGAATATCAAGGAATAACTTTAATCGGAATTAAACTGCTTACACTATTTCGCTGCTAACAAGTGAAAAAAGCCAGTCGTACATGCTTTTTGCCAATTATTTTCCGATGATAACCCATATGCACGTCGCTGGTGAATACGTCGACACTTTTTAAAATATTAGCGTTATAGTAACTTTGTCCTGAAAATTTCATTCAAGCATTAAAAACTTTATAACAAATAAAATAAGCAAATCGAAAAAATATTAAGACTTTAAACCTGGTAGCTGGCATAAGATGGCGAATTGAACCTGATATCTAAGAGCTAACCACGTTTTCGAGAAATTTCACAAGACGTCTGGCTCTTTTGATATATCTTTTACTATGCTCTCTGGAACAGCATGCCGCCCGTATGGCTGCCGATATCCGTTGCGTTCACTACTGCGCATTGGAATAAGATCCTATATTTTTTATTAATTTAGGCCTATAAATTCTAATATTGAATATAAATCGAACATGTCTCCATAGCGCAGTGCGTAGAGTTTTCGACCACGAACCGATGATTCAGAGTTCGAATCGGGTCAGGACAAAGACTTTTTATTTTCCTTTATATTCTGACAGTAAAGTATTAAATAATTTTGGTGATTAAAAAAACAAATATTTAATACTTTACTAACAGAATCTAAACGAAAATAAACTAAAAAGTCTTTGCCCTGACCAGATTCAAGTTCATGGTGGCTGCGCTATGGAGACATTCGACATTGCTATTCAATAGAGCTAAGAACTCATAAAATATAGGATCTTCTTTCAATGCAAGGCAGATTACCACGACCATGGCGCAGACAAACGGGACTCATAGCAAATATCAGGATCTTCTTAAGCATATCAAGCCAGACGTCTTGGCTGTTTTTCCGGCGTTGATATGAAAAACCCATGCGTCTTAAATCCATTTGTGCGGGCGTTTGCTGGCTTTTGTCAAGCGCATAGTGCAACAGTCAGTCGCGGAGCCTTGAATTAAGGTATCAGTGTTTACAAAAAAATAACTATTTTATTTTGGACAGATAAATCCGCCACAGAGGTATAGACATTTTTTAATATAAACAAATATCTGAACAAAATTGTACCATAAAGAAAAACTAGCCTAATATTCTGACTCTAAGATTATCTAGCCATGACCAAAAAAAAAGATCATTAAATCGACTGAGTAGTTCAGAAAATATAGAACTTGGATTTAAAGTAACTTTAAAAATATGCCATCATTTTGACAAGAAGTTTATATATTTTAACTTTTTTTTAATATAACCTATACATACTTGTTTCAAAATAAGCCTCTGTAAAATATTCATAACAAAACCAGAAAGTCGTGAATAACTGCCCAACGCCTGAATAACTGTTCTCATTAACAACGTGGGTAATGGTGTTTGATCCATCAGCTGCTGAAGTACAACAGCTAAAACTTCTTGTGTGTATACCTGTATTTAAAAATTGATTTGTTACCTTTTTTAAAAGACAAGTGTTTTTTGTTATTTACCTGTTTTTCTTGCAAGCAAAGTGAAATTGCTTTAATAATGGTTTTGAGATCTGCTTTACTAGTGTCTATTAAATGCAAAGCTACTAATAACTCCGAGGGAGAAATTGGACTTTCACCATGTAATCCTAATAGTCTATTAAAAACTTCACGCACCACAACTGGATTTAGTTTTATTAACTTTGGAAGAGCCAATATAACCTAAAAAATAATGAATAATTTATAAATGTGTATATCATATACTACCATATTACATATTTTGTGTACAGGGTGGCGCCTCTCATACGACGCGGAGGCTCCAAGGAGAACGACAGTTTGTATTGAAATGAAATTTTGTGAGCAATGTACATGTACCGGGTTATCATTTTAGTTTGACCCACTTTCAAAAGCTTATAACTTTTTCGTTTGTTGGGTTAAAGCATTCATTCAAAAAGCATGTTGTAGCAGTTTCAGCCAAGTTTTTGCGAGTGTTGTCAAAAATGAGAGTAGGTGTCACATGTCAGATTTTTGAAACTAAAAAAACTTTTTATTAAATGGGACACCCCGTATATTAGTAGCGCATTAGATAGTCGCCTTTTCTCCGAATTCAAAAATGTATCACACATGTGCATTCTTAAACATGTAAAAACAATTAGGTAATTAAAAGAATCAAGATAGTTATAAATGGTTTTGTTTCCAAATTATGTTTGTTAGTTTCTTTGAATAAGAAGACTAAGGAAGGAGCATATCAAAAATCTTAGGTACACCGCGATGGGCCTCAAATATGGCCGACTTAAATTCCGGTTTATCAGTGTCGTTCTAATTTTATTTAAAAAATGTAAAACTATGATGTAGGGTAGACGTGGGGTAGACTCAATAATTTGTTGTTTTATTTTACGTTGTGAATAAATGTTGGTAGTTATTAAAATTGTTATAAAAATATATAATGCTAATAAAAATAGATAAGTTATAATAAGTATTTATTACCACAAACATCCGATACGCTACTGAAGCAAGTAAGTCAAATTAACGTATCTAAATTCTTTGACATCTAATCTTTGACAAGTAATAAATAAAAGCTAAAATGCAAGAAAAATATATAATTTAGTTAATTTAAGTGAGTTTTATAAATGATCGGTTTACTACACGTATGTATATTATATAGTCACTTACTAGCGAAACGTTGTTCCATTATTTCACTCAATTTTTGCCGAGATCTACCGCATGCTACACAATCAACTATTTTAGAGTCTTTTCGATAAATCGCGATAGTGTCACTGTTAATTTAAGTGCTGCCACAATTTCCATCTAGATTTACTACCTTTATACAACTATCAGTAGTAGAATAAATAATAAATAACATAAAATAAGCTCCGTAAAGACTGACAAATCCACAAAATTTCAAATCAAATTCAAATGTGTCAAATGCATCGTCAAACAGAACTGTCAAGGATCCCCACCCTAGAGTGCTTTTATGGCGCTTTTTCCGCCCACCATGCATGAATACATGGATAGCATTATGCTCCTTCCTTAGTCTTCTTATTCAAAGGTTAGTTTGCCTTATCAATGTAGCACAACACATTAACGACAATAATATAGCTATAGAATTAAAAACAGTTATAGGTTATTCATTTTCATAATCTATATTGCTCTACATGACCACCTTTTTCGATGCATTTTCGAAATATTTTCTACAGGCTTTTCATAATATGACGTTTATAATGTTAATGTGTGATACATTTTTGAATTCGAAGAAAAGGGGACTATCTAATGCGCTACTAATATACAGGATGTCCCATTTAAAAAGTTTTTTTTTAATTTTAAAAATCTGACATGTGACACCTACTGTCATTTTTGACAACACTCGCAAAAACTTGGCTGAAACTGCTACAATATGTTTTTTGAATGACTGCTTTAACCCGACGAACAAAAAAGTTATAAGCTTTTAAAAGTGGGTCAAACTAAAATGATAACAGGGTACAGGGTGTCCCACTAAGAATAGCTCTCGGCTGTATCTCGGAAAGTATTAGTCGTAGAGCTTGCGGAAAAAAAATATTTATAACTAAAGAATTGGAAATTATTTTCAAGTTTGTAGAGCGGCCGCTAGAGAGCGCAACTGCTATTAAAAATAAGAAAAAGAGCGTTTCTTACTCTATATTATAGCGTATAAACAATAATAATAAGCTGTCGAATGTAGACGCTAGGGGGCGCTGTCTTACAATTTAACAAGCATTGCGTGTTTTTTTAAATAAAATAAATGCGATATTATATATAATTTTAGCTGATAGTAAAGAGTAATAAAAGATTAAAAAGTCAGCGAAAACCGCATCTTGATATCATCTTTCAGACCGAAGATATTAGCAAAATAATACGAAAAAACAAGCCCTTAATTACCTTATTTTTTTAACACGGTTACATTAACCCTCTTGGTCATAATGACCATTCTAATAAAAAATAAGATAGAAACGATTAGTTTATTTTAAAATCGACAATATACCAGAATACGATAATACCAGATGTATTAATATCTAATAATTAAGATATCAATGACAGTGAATAAGAAACGACGCCACAGTGAAGTCATGGTAGGCTTTGGAAAAAAGATGCTTTTGACGTAATAGTATAAACGTCAAAGAGTTATTAAATCAACATTTTGATAGTCTTAGCAGCGTTTTTCTCTTTTGAAGAAAGGCATTTTTAGAAAAGCAATCAAAAGATAAAAAACGCTGCTGAGACTATCAAATTGTTGATATAATATAATTTGGTGTTTAAACTATCTCTTTAAAAGCAACTTTTTTCCAAAGCCTACCATAAATTCACTGAGGCGTCGTTTCTTAGTCACTCATTACACTTAGTCAGTCATTGATATCTTAATTATTAGATATTAATACACCTAGTATTATGGTATTCTGGTACATTGTCGATTTTTTGATTGAAATAATATTTTCTATCTTATTTTTTATTAGAATGGTCATAATCAAGAGGGCTAGGGATACCGTGTTAGAAAGATAAGGTAGTTAAGGGCTTATTTTTTCGTATTTATTATAATTTTGATAATAACTTTGGTTTGAAAAAAGATATCCAGATGCGGGTTTCGCTGAATTTTTAAACTTTTATTACTCTTTAGTATCAGCTAAAATTACATATATTATTGCATTTAACTTTTTCGAAAAAACGCGTAATGTTTGTGAAATTGTAAGACAGCGCCCCCTAGTGTCTACGCTCAAAAGCTTATTTTTATTGTTTATATGGTATAATATAGAGTAAGAAACGCTCTTTTAAACGAGCCCCCACTTATTGGATTCCGATCAACCAGTCCGGAGTTATTAACATTTAAATATAAACGGATCTAACCTTCCCTCACCACTTTATTTTGGTAGATATCTAAGCAAAATTGTGTAAAAACTCCTTTTTCTTATTTTTAATAGCAGTTGCACCCTCTAGCGGCCGCTCTACAAACTTGAAAATAATTTCCAGCAATTTCTCATGCTCTCTTTAGTAATAAATATTTTTTTCCGCAAGCTCTACGACTAATACTTTCCGAGATACAGCCGAGAGCTATTCTTAGTGGGACACCCGGTACGTTAATCCAGAGTACTTTTTAAAAACATAGAAAGCTCTACAGGGTGTCCCCAAAAGGTACATATCAAAGTGGTTTTTTTTGTAATGGAATACGCTATATATTAATTGATTTTTGGATTCTGAGAGAAAAAAAGGTGTGTTTTAATATACTGCTACCTAAATTGAAATTTACCCGGTATAGCCTAATATGTAGTTAAAATAACTATTGTACTTTAAATCAAATTAAAACTTGACTCAAAAAGTTATACAGAGTCAGACAAAATTAATATTGAACATTAGTCACCTCTAAAAACAAGTTACTCTTTTATTTTAAATGGAACATCCAATATATTGTTCCGATATTCAATGGGGAACTCATATCTCTTCAAAATAATATTAAGGTTGCCTACTCCTCAAACAAAGATTTTCCTAGATATTTTCATTTTTATGATTTAGAAAAGATAAATCAATATTCTATATTAGTTTTACCAATTACAATTAAAACGCCATTAAATGGAGAATTTAGAGATCGGAATCGGAATGGAACAAGGGACCTCATATCTTGGCCTGCTAGGTCCTGTGATTTAACTTCTTTCGAATTTTTTATGGGGAAAATTAAAAGACCTTATATACAGGGTGAGTTTCCTACGATGTTCTCTATGGGTATCTCGGAAACTACTGGAGATAGAGAGTCGGTTAAATGGGGAAAGAATTGCAGTTTTGTGGAGTCATAAATATGCGCCTTTCAGATTTTTGCAAAAGTTCATGGCTTACTAGATATTTCGAAAAAAACAAATTTCGGCTATTTTAAAAATTGTCCCTAATTCCTTTATAATTTCAGATAAAATTTGTAGATAATCTCATCCTTAATGAGACTGTGTTCATATATTCCAATATAAGCTATTTTAGACAAAAAGTTTTCAGATAAAAGTTGTAGATAATCATATCCTTAATGAGATTGTGTCCTCCCTTTTTTTCTAAAGCCTGTCATATTTGAGATATGACACAAACATATGTTTTTTTAAATGGAAACCATAGTTGACCATGACTTCATAAAAAGCGCCATTTTCAAGTTTTTCAGCGATATAAGCTATAATATGTTTTTTTCGAAAAATTACTGAGTTATAGCCAATTCTTATAATTTGTAAACAATTTCACTTAGTCATGGAAACAAGTTCAATCGCCGTTGCTCTCAGAAATGTGAAGCTGTCACATCCAAACTTTGTAAATTAAAATTAACAAAAATTGTAAATATGAATTTTTCAAGTTAAGAAGAGCATGTAGATACCCGTGCATCAATAGAGTGGTTCCAACATGACTTTCATTATACCCCCCCCCATAATGAAAGAAACGTTAAACATTATTTATATCATAATAATGCAGGGATAGGAAGAGGTGGACCAATTGCATGAGCCTCCTCGATCACCTGACCTATCCATTTTAGATTTTTTTATGCGGTATGGTTACCAATAAGGTTTACAAAAAAACTTATGAATTAAGAGAGACACTCGTTGTGGCGGTACGAGAGAAGTTTAATTAAGTCGACAGGTCCTTCTGTGAGACTAGGTAGTAATTCACTTTTAAAAGATGCAACTCAAAACTAAGAATTGGCTATAAGTAAATTTAGCTTTTCTAACATATGTCTTAAAAACTGTTCTCTAAAGAACGTAACATTCACCGGTCAACGTATCCTCGAAAATGTTTGGCCAAGAAAAGTTGAACCAATAATCCTACACGCTTTTCTTCATTTGAAAAATTCATATTTACAATTTTTGTTTAGTTTAATTTACAAAGTTTGGATGTGACAGCTTTACATTTCTGAGAGCAAAGATGATTGAACTTGTTTCCATGGCTAACTAAGTGAAATTGTTTAAAAATTATAAGAATTGGCTATAACTCAGTAATTTTTCGAAAAAAACATATTACAGCTTAAATCGCTGAAAAGCTTGAAAAATGGCGCTTTTTATGAAGTCATGGCCAGCTATGGTTTCCATTTAAAAAAACATATGTTTGTGTCATATCTAAAAAATGACAGGCTTTAGAAAAAAAATGTGTGGAGGATATAATCTCATTAAGGATGTGATTATTTACAACTTTCATCTGAAAACTTTTTGTCTAAAATAGCTTATAAAGGAATTAGGGACAATTTTTAAAATAGCCGAAATTTGTTTTTTTCGAAATATCTAGTAAGCCATGAACTTTTTCAAAAATCTGAAAGGCGCATATTTATGACCCCACAAAACTGCAATTCTTTCCCCATTTAACCGAATCTCTATCTTCAGTAGTTTCCGAGATACCCACAGAGAACATCGTAGGAAACTCACCCTGTATAAGGGAAGAACCATTGGGATGAGAGAAGAAGTGCAGAAGGATACTAGGCAAGCTTTTAGACTTATTACACCAGCTGGCCTAATAAATTGAGACGACACTAAAACTCACGATACCCTAGACAAGGAAAGAGAATCTCTCTTTCCTTCTCTAAGGACAAAATACTGGGAAGCTGAACCGCGCAACCGCGGTCTACGTCAAAGTCAGCTGAACTGCCGCTGATGGACTATGGACTTCGTAAACAACGGCACTTTTATAAATTATCAGAGTAAATATGGTCCTATTTAAAAACAAAGTTAAAAACTCATCAGCATTCCTGTATTTTTAAATAATACAATAGATACTAAAAGCACTTTAAAGAAGATGTACAATTTGTGAATGCGTTTTGGGAGACTGGATTATTTTTAATTTGTGTTGTTTCACTTGTTAAAAACACAATAATAATAAGAAACGTATTAATTGCCCACTGTGTACTCTAAATATGGTAGTCTGTATAGTTTGTGGAAGTCGAAGTATATTGCAACAACATTTGAAGGTAAACACCATGAAGTAAAATTTGAAATGGAAACACATAACTTTGCCTATGACTTTGCTACAAAGGAAAGTTATAAACTGTGGTACGAAAAGCAGAAGATCAAGATAAATTATGCATTCGCCAAGTCAAGAAAATATAATGACTATGTGGAAAAAAAGCTTACAATTATTATTGCAATCATAGTAAATCAGCCAGGTAGGTAAAATAGAAATAAAAAACACTATGCCAAATAGTCTCTTTTTATTTTTAGGACACAGCAATTGTTCTAAATGAACAGAGAAGGCCAGTAGTTCAATAAAAAAACCATATAATGTGCCATAAAAGGAAAATGGATAAGCAAGAATAATTATTCCGGACAAAGTGAAAGTGGTTATTGGTTTAAGACTTTATTTATTTTGTTTTTCGTCTTATAAGAATAGCTCCCGTATATAGCGTTTAACGCCTTGCGAGTGGCAAGGTACAGCTTGCTATATTAGAGCCGTTCGGTATACAAGGAAGGTAATGTGGCTAGCACTACGCTTCAACCGCCTATTATTACCTCAGGATTGTGAATCCCAAGTACTCATTTAAGGCTGAGTCGACCTAGGTACCCAAACTATTTTTATTTTAATAAAAATAGTCCGCTGATGAAATGCCGGGTGTGGGAATCGAACCCACACCTTGAGATTGGTAGACGAGAGCCTGTACCTCTACGCCACCGGGCACCTTTTTCGTCTTACTTAAGTAAAAATGTATTGACTGTTGGTTAAGGGTTTTATATTTATTTTGTAATACTTACTACCTGTACAATGTGTTATTGTTTATTGTTAAAATGATTGTATAGTATTGTTGTAATTATTGTATTTTCTTGACATGGCATAAGTGAGAACCATAACAACAACCATAACAACACCATAAATTTCTTTTGCAGTTTCTTCTTATAAGCCGTAATCGAAACTGCAACATTCTAATAAAATTAGAACTATAAATTTGTTTTTTTATTTCTAATATATTACAGTTATTAAGCCAACAAATTTTCCCAAAACGTTTATTTCCCCACGAAAATGTGATTCAATTTAAGAACTGACATTTTAATAAAAAATTTCAACTTGATTCGGAACATAATATATTTCTCTGCCCTGTACTGTATTACAAATTTTTCTAACCGATCTTCATTCATATGTAAGACATAATGATAATAACTAGAGTAAATGTTTAAAATGTTTTAAAAATATATAAATGCAGATCAACTTTTAAATATAGCCATATTTCTAAAAATAGTCTAAAAACTATAAAAAACAAAATGAACAACCAAAACAGTCAACTACTGTTAGCAATTTCGCATAATAAAATTATTTGAAATTATTGTTCGATTCCCGATTATTCATAACATTCATAATGTTCAAAATTCCCGCAAAGCGCTTCTAGCCGAACAAAACCGAACTCTCCGTGTAGGACCCGAATGCTTCCGAGGTTTTCGTGAGTTTTAGTGTCGTCTAATAAATTGCTGTAACTCTGTGCGCAAAAGATGTTTATTACGTAGTCAACAAGGAGGTGCTCAGTTTGAACATCTTAGATGATTTAGAAAACTATATTCGTCGCTCAAAAAATATCTTTTTAAGCTTTGTTCTTTGTTTATTGTATCGATTTCAATTGTAATTACTAAAACTAATATAGAATGTTAATTTACCTTTTCAAAACTCTCTAATTATGCAAATAAATAATAATATAGAATATTAAATTGCGATAAAAACTAGGTCAACACAAAATCATGGCACACTTCGATACAAAGATGAAAAACTTAATATTTCTCTTATTCTTAGAAATAGGTACCCATAACTTTATATCGTTCGAAATGGTTAAACGGTAGCATTTTTTTAAGTTCATAGCCAACTATGATTTCCATTTAAAAAATAATATTTTTTATTATTTCTGACAAAAAGAGCAAGCATAGAAAAAAACTCACTACGCCACTGGATCGTGCTTAAAAAAGTGCCTTAAGAACGTCTTTACAGAATTTTATTATTCCGCGAAATAAAAAAGTTATGGGCAATTTTCCAAATGGTAAAAAAATCAAAAAGACCCCGTATCTTAGTTGGCAGTGAAAATATCGACAGGCAGTTTATGCCATTAAACGTGTCTCCAAAATCGAGCCCATGACATCTATGTCGGTTTTGCTCTATCTAGTAAGGGAATAGGTTTTCTCTGTTAAAACAGACCAATTCCGACCACCCTGTACATCCTTTAATTTTTGTTAAATTAACAAAAAGTATATCACAACCACCTAGATTTTTACAAATAATAAATATCTACTGACGCAAAATAATAAGAATTAAAATATCTAGAAGAATCTTTGTCTGAAGGGTAGGCAACCTTAATAACATTTTAAAGATATATGAATTCCCCATTGAACAACGAAATAATATACTGGGTGTTCCATTTAAAATAAAGGAGTAACTTGCTTTTAAAAGTGACCAATGTTCCATATTAATTTTGTCTCACCGTGTATAACTTTTCGTGTCGAATTTTAATTTGGTTTAACAAACAATGGTTATTGTAATAAAATATCAGGGTATACAGGGTAAATTAAGATTTAGGTAGCTGTTATTGAAATTTAAAATTTACTTTTCATTTTGACAAAATGTGAAATATGTCAAAATCCTTATGGCATCCCTGGCATATGCTTCTTTAATAAAACTCATTTTTATTTTTTCCTAGAATTCGAAAATCAATTAATATATAGGGTGATCCATTACAAAAAACAAAACTTTGACGTGTAGCTTTTTTGGGGACATCCTGTATAAATTCATATATATAAAAAGGCTTTAAATTAACCTACATATGCTCCCAAAATTTCATTTCGATATAAAGTTCTGCTTAAAGAATATATTATGATTTTGACAAAAGGCATACAAAAAATAATAGAAAACGTTTGAATTATAACAAGATTCTTGCCAACAAACTATATTTAAATCTGAATCCTTGTTATGTTTTTACTATTCCGCAATTTCTAGAAAATTAAGTTCTAAAAGGTTTTAGTACAACATAAAATCAAAACTCGTAAAAATAAAAACAAGTGTTTAATTACAATCCAAATATTGTAAAAATATAGTATTTACCTCTCTCTTTGATAATCCATTTAGTACAGGAATCAGGAAACGTACATCTGAAACTCTAGTATTATAAAGTTCTTTAACTTTTTCGACTAAGGCTGCGCTTGGAGTTCCTTTGTCAGTTAAAATATGAATAACCCTTGTTACAAGAGTTTCTGAGCCTTTTGGACACTTTTCCACTAGTTTTATTAACTCGGGACAATCCATACCCAAACAGCGTACTGGAGCTTCTATTAAGCGTAAAATTACCCGTTTAATATCCGCTCCTGTTTCAACGTAAATCTGACAAAAAAAAATGTCACAAAAAAATATTATATATTTAATGTGTGATATATTTATATATTTGATATCAATTAAACTTTTAGTTACGTAATCGAGGGCGCTATTTTTAAATTCTTTGTTGTCAACTATGAACATATTGGGAGCCCCACAGTGATGCCGAAAACGCGAAAAGTGGCAAAAAATAATTTCTCAACTTACTACTACATTTTTTAAAATTATTTTTGTTAAATGTTGTTTTCTAAGTGTATAAGTGATGTTTTGAATTCAGTATATTGAATTATGTATACAGAGTGTACTTAAATTGGCTGTAAAAAATAAAAAATGGGTTGTAAAAAAATTAATTATATTATTTTGTCTTTAATAGCATATTAATTTAATACTATATTCTTTGTAAAGTTTAAAAAATCAAAAAAAGTTTGTGTAAACACATAAATAAATATACAGGGTTTTATTTTCAGCCCCTTATAATAGAATTGGCATTTTGTTTTTAATATAATTAATCCTTTTTTCGGAACTACTTACCAATAAGTATTACTTAAATTCAAGATATTGACATTCATCTCCATGAGAAAAAAAAATAAAAAAAATAAACTAAATACATCTGTATATTTTATGTAGTTAGCTATTAACGAAAGTAACACCAAAACATCTAAAAGATTGAGCGTTCTTTTCGCATTAGATGTAAGCCGTTGTTTACTTACAACCATTTAATTTTAGTTATATTTTCAAATGTTCCATAATTTAGAAATATCTGTAATTACCTGTGGCAAAAATATTATACTTAGATTATAATTAGAACTTAGTTACAAGAATTTAATACGCAAGAAAAAGAAACTAAAAATTATCCTAAAGCTTCTATATAAGATGGATAATAATATAAAAAATAGAATAATTTAATCTATAATAAGTTTTGGAGCCTCCGGATGCTGTTCTATTTTACTTGACAGGAGAAGTCTTGGTGATCTCTTACTATATCCGAGAAAATTAGTATCTAGAAGGTGCATGATATTCTTGATAAAAGTTGTTGACTGAATATTGACGCATCATAGACACATTGACACGTCTTTGTAGTTTAATATTAACAATAAATTATTCAAAATTAATGATATTTCTAATAATATTAAATATAATGTCATATAAGCACAAAACGAATAAAAACTTAGGCTTAATAGGGAAAAGCTAGTTAAAATTACACATTAAAAATTATTTTTAAATTTGAATACTTTGTATATCGAAAATTAAATTGAATAAGAAAAAATATATTACAGTTTCCTTTCTAAAATTAATTAAAAGTAACCAACAACAATATTTTACAGCATCTAAGAAACACCCAGTAATATAATGTCATACATAATTTATTTTTAAAAACTAAATCGTGGTTTTCAGGAGAGTTAGGCAACCTAAAGGGTATTTGTGGGCTAATATTGGTCATGAAACTTTGTAGTTATGAAGAAAAAAGGCTAATAATTGTAACCTACATAATATTTTTTTGGAGCAATTTGGAGCATTTTGTATTAGCTTACATAAAATTTGATTTTAGATTAAGCAGTTCTTAATTACATCAAGGTCTTTATTGATTTTTTTTATGGTACCAGGAAAGTTAAAACTAGAATTACCATGAGGAAAAATATTTGAAAGCATTGTACTTTCTCAGAGTACCATCAGTTTTTAGCTAATTTATCACCAACGTTAAACGCACTAATTTTATTTAATCAAAATTTAATCAAATTATTTTAGCTTCAGCTAATAATCCTATAAGCTCGAACAGTTCTTATCAGGGATTAATAATGGGCCCGTTTTTATTCAAAAATCTTCACGATTCTGAAAATATGGACTATTAGGAACTATACGAGTGAAATTATAATTAAAAAAAATACTTTTGATACTTTGATTTACTACCGCTATTGGGAACTTCTGCATCACTGTGCGCCGGGCTGACTGACTGGATTTTATATTTCCCGCTGGGGATTCAGGTAGTAACTCTGCTGTAAAAAATGTCAAGTTGCCACATTTATTTATTGATTTCCGGACATTGTCATTCGTTTTGACACTTTAGTTTTGTGTTTTTAGGGTTCCGTACCCAAAGGGTAAAAACGGGAACCCTATTACTAAGACTTCGCTGTCCGTCCGTCTGTCACAAAAGTCTATCTTATGAACCGTTATAGCTAGACAGTTGAAATTTTCACAGATAATGTATCTATGTTGCCGCTATAAGAACGAATACTAAAAACAGAATTAAATAAATGTTTATAAATAAAAAAGTACTTTCACTAAACATTATCTTTTAAGTAAGAATTTTACATAGAATCTTTCAAGTCCTCGGTGGCCGCGTGGTTAAAGCGTTAGGACTTTACGCTGCTATGACATTGGAGCCATAGTAAGGCAGGTTCAAATCATAGTCAAGGCGACTTTTTTTTAATTGTTTTTTTTTAAATTTTTACATGTTTTTACATATTTATTTTTAATTTTTACATATTTATTATTGATTAATACAATTTTTAGTAATGTGTTTCTTCAGTTTTTTTTAAATTACTTATACGCGCATTCAAAATTTCAGCTAAATCGGAAAAAAAGTTGATAATAATATTTATAGTGTCTAATGTTGTATAGATAATGAATGGTACAGAACCCTTCGTGCGCGAGTCCGACTCGCACTTGACCAGTTTTCTGTTTTGTGAGCTTTTGGTTTAAATAAATAGTGTTGTGATACTTTAGCTTAAACATGTTTATTAGCAGACCTTGCGGTCGAACATTGTTCTTTTTAAAACCCCTTTTAGTGCGAAGTGTACAAGATAGCTTAATAGCCGTAAAAAACTCATCGCAACTTTATTAGATTATTTTGAACGAGAAAGCGGTAGTAATGACCCTTTATGTCCCTTAAATGCTGTTAAGGAGTTAAGTTTTGTTGATGTAAGTAACAACCGTTTACATATTTATAATTAATTTGTTTTTGTTTCCTAAAATATTTTGATTAAAAGAAAATACGTAAAAGTCGGCAACGCTGTGCCGGTCAAGCTTAATCACGTGACTAAAAGTTTATTTGATATAAACTATATAAAAATATAATTTACCTTTGCTAAGTCGTGAACTAAATGAGGATTTGAGGGTAACAATGATATGTACGGCAATAAACAAGCCTTAATAAAATCATCTCCCCAAGTTTCACTTTTTATACGATGTTGACCTTCGCCACTCAAACTATCTGGAGGTTTAGAAAGCTGTAAATAATATGAATAATTTCAATCAGGTTACGATAATTTAAATTGTGATATATTTTTTTATTAAAATAGTCGAAATATAACCATAATAAACAAGCAAAATAATAATAATTTAAGCAAAATATGCACATCAGCTACAGCTATTAAAAATCAACTCAATATAAGCAAAGTAAAATACTGATTTCTTCATCTACAACGATACCTGTACTTATTAAAATATATTAACTTATTTAAATATACTATAAATTTGTTTTTTTTATTATTGGAGGCGGTGTAATTGTAGAAATCAATGTCTACATGATATTCAACTTAAAAGTAAAAAAAATACTAGGCTTTAATTATAAAATTTTTGTGTGGTAAAATAGTAGGTATTTGCGGAGACAACCAAAAAACGCTAATTTTCAACTGGATCTTTCAACTGTAAAAAACTTAAATATCGAAAACTATAGCAAATTTTAGGTAATTTAATTTTGAATAGAAGTATTATTTCGAAAAGTTGATAGTTTTAGAGTTATAAAAAAACTGTAAAAAATCCAAATTTGTTCACTTTTTACAATTTTTTTTAATGTTACGCGACGAAATCTTGTTGGCAATAGTCAGAATCGAAATCAGCACCCCAAAAAACAAAAGTAAATAAAAGGAATCAGAACTATACCAAAACTTTCACCCGAGAAGCTTTTTGAGTACAATTTCATTAGACTACTATGATTTGAGAAGCAGGCAATGAAGTAATTGCTGCAAGGGTTTATGCAGCGGGATTTCATCGAAAGTGCTTTTACGAGAGTAGAATTTTTAATCGTTTGCCTTACCGTTTTCGTACTACCGGAAGTACTCATCGCCCTGTTTATCGAAGGCGGCATAGAGGTCGAACTGAAGTTAAAACAGGATAAATGTTTTGGCATATGTGCAGTTTGATCGCAAGTTAGTAATTGTCAAAGACTTGGGCATAGCGTTTTTGCAATCTATTATAATAAATTACTAACTTTTCGTCTATAAAATTGTTATGCACAGTGCGCAATTAAAGTCGGCCGTGGCAGTGATATCAACGGCTTCGTCAATTAATAGAAACATTTTAAAGACATAAAATGTTAAAAAACGCTACTGAGACTATCAAAATGTTGATCTAATATCACTTTGACGTTTAAACTATTACTGCAAAAATCAACATTGTAGAACTTTAGTACAATACTTTAGAACTTAGTACTTAAAAACAATGTAATTTTGCAGTTTTAACGCCAAGCTTTAACTAAATGTCCCAAAATAAACTAAACTAAATAATATAATCTAATTTAATACGATATAAATTATTAAATAATCTACTATCAATAAAACATTAGCAAATTAAAAAATAATTCTTCATAAAACTATCATATTATACTTACTGTACCTTCAAAAATTCAAGATTCATTTTTGCAAATTCTTCAATTATTAGTCGTAACTCGTAATTCTTATGCAGATCTAATACATGATTAATAGCAGCATCCCGGACAGCACTTAATTCGTACGTAGTATAAGACAATAAAACGTTCAAGAAAGTCAGTTGTTTTGGTGGTTTTCTTAGGGTCAAATCCCGTAAGAGTCCAAGCGCCCAACCTGCGAATTATAATATATTTTTTTAGTCAAAATGAGTTATATCTTTACATTTTATAAACTTCCTGGATAAAGCTAGACCATATGTAAATTACACACAACTTTGTTTACGCGATTAACATGAAATTTTCTACTTATTTCTTTCTATAACAAGATTATCGTATAAGCCTATTCTGCATGTGCTACTGAGCTTGCGCAGAACGATATTGAACGTGAATGCTAACTTGGAGTGGTTTTTCGCTAAATCCATTGATGGCTTTGAAATTGTAAATTGTTTATTATCAAAATCAACAGTTAATTGTAACAGTGTGTTGGATACACTGAGATTTTAATTATTATAAGATTATGAGATTTTTGTCTTTGTTCACGCATTAAAAGATATTTATCTATACCGGGTGCGTCTCAAAAGTGGCTCTCCCCTATAACTTTTTTTACTTTTTCAGATAACATAACTAAGTAGATTTGGTATGTTAGTGAAGTATGACATAAATTAGGATTGATTGACGTGTTCAATTATTCTTGGTCACTTCCTGTTTCACCAGAAAAAAAGAACTTTTATTCGATAAAAAACGACACTCTGAATAGAATGACATATCATATGTCGACTTTTGACATTTTTTGCTTAAAAACAAGTCGTATTTTAAATTTTAATCTAGAGTGCCATGGTTGCGTTAGAAAACACTAATTTTTAATTAAGGAGTCTTGGAAAAATAGATCTGATCATCTAATGTTTTTCGTGTCTTGTCCTGGCCAGTTAAAAGATGCCCAAATCGTATTTTTAAACATATCTCATTTTTTTCAAATGGAATAAGGGTGGCTCATTAGCATATTTGAAAAAGGCATTTTTTACGAATAATTTGGTACCACACAATTGGTATTTCGAGGCTAATTGTCGTTACAAACCGCATGTTAGAACTTCAAATAAATCATATGCGAAAATGTCAAAAGTTGACATATATATGTCATTCTATTCAGAGTGTCATTTTCTATCGAATAATGTAAAAAAATACCGAGGGCGTCATGTAAAAATCAAAAGTTGTAGTCATTTCCGGTGAAACAGGAAGTGACCAAAAACATTTGAATACGTCAATCAATCCTAATTTATGTCATATACTAACACACCAAATCTCGTTTTAGTATCTGAAAAAATAAAAAAGTTATAGGGGGTGGACCACTTTTGACCAACTTTTTTGGCGCACCCGGTATACCAGGTGACCAACTAAGAATGGACGCCGGCTGTATCTCAGAAACTACTTATCGTATAACTTTGGGAAAAAAAATTCTAATAAGTAAATCGACCAAGAGAAATCGGTGGAAATTATTTTCAAGTTCGAAAAATGCCCGCTAGGGGGGGTTTCTCTAAGAGCCAATTAGAAAACAGGATTTTTCTCAAAAATATGCAGGTGAACAGGTATTTTTAATTTTACTATTGTAATCATCGAGAAATTTGTAATTTTTTTGATACAGAGTATTTTGCTCTATTTCATAAAATAAAGTGGTGGGGGAAGGTTAAACTTGCTTTTATTAAAATAAGGATAACTCTGGTTTAGGTTACGCGATTTAAACAAACTAGGGCTCGTTTAAAAGAGCTTTTCTTCCTTAATGATCTCCAGTATAAATTTTGTTTCCATAATTTTTTTCGTGGTAGCTAGAGGGCGCTGTTTGACATCATATCAGATATTGCACTTTTGCGTAAAAAAATTAAATAGTAGGCTATACTTCTCTTTGCACAGTTAAATAGAGCACAAAATTTCCAAAATATCAGCGCAAACCGCAACTTTCTATCTTCTCTCTAACCGGAGATATTAAGAGAACAAATCATGTTAGGCTGCCGCTTAGGATTATATCGTCCCATTGCTGCCAAAAGTCACTAGTTTACTTTTTATTACTTCCGAGAAAAATGCGTCTAAAGATGAATTGCATTGCATAAAGATGTTATAGTTAGTAACTATTCGGTATTAAAATAAAACATAAATAGCCAGAAATCGTAGTTAATGACTTTCGTAATCGATTACCCGCTTCAAAACATAGTTAGTGATTGAATTTGGTTGTTCGGAAAAATGTTAGTTAGTGACTTTTGGCAGCAATAGGACGATATGGTCTAAAAATTATAGTAGTAGACTAGTAAACAAAAAGAGGTAAGTTGATTACGTCAAAATATCAAAACATTTAAGTTCAGTTTTCATGCATCCCAATTTCGGGCGTTTTCTTAAAAAAAATGACGTCATATTTATTTAAACATGCTTATGTAACATTATCATCCATCCATATAATTTTTACGAATTTCTTGGTTAATTATACGAAATATACGGAACTGGACCGGTCTGGGGGTCGAGAGGCTGTTTGATGCAGCAGAAGATAGAGAACTCTTCCACGAAATAGTCATGGAGATCGCCAACGCATAAAAACAGGCACGGCACCACAAGAAGAAGAAGAAGAAGTTTTCAGATTAAAACGTCCGAAAGTCGGAAAATCAATAATTTTATTAAAATTTCTAGGAATTTTGTGCAGCCATATTGCTTTTAACAGGAAACGGCTGAATTTCGTATTGTCGAAAACTAGGGGTTTATTTGATGTAACGTCATTTAGTTATTAATGCAAGTTCATCCTTGATTTCGCTTGTTTTCGTGTTTTACCTGTTGTTTGTGTTATTTATTATTATATTATCAAGTTTATGTCGTTTGTGTCACTTTTCATATAGCACCGAACGAAGGTGCGAATCTTAACAATATGCACTACTGGTCCAAATCTACCCTTGATGCAAGTAGTTTAGCACCAAGACAATGATTAGACTTTTTAATTATCCGAATGAAATGAACTATTCATAATTTCTAAGAAATGAATTGCCAATTTTGTTAGAGGATCCATCATGATGAATTTGCATTTGTTGCAATTTCATCAGCATGAATGCAGTTGGTGTAGCTGAGGCAGTAGTGCCGCTTATTTTGCTATGAATGTGTGGGACTCCTTGGATACTACTTACTTTAGTATATAGAGACGCGGGAGCGGCATATTTCCATGACCAGCTGGGTCATCGGATTCAATATGTCTGGATTGTAATTTATGGGGTCGAATCAAGAACGAACATACATAAATAATTATTAAATGGTACTAAAATAAAATTAAAATATATGTTTTGATATTTTGAAGTAACCAATTTATCACTTTTTGTTTCCTAGCCTACTACTATAATTTTTAGACCATATAATCCTAAGTGGCAGCCTAACATGATTTGTTCTCTTAATATCTCCGGTTAGAGAGAAGATAGAAAGTTGCGGTTTGCGTTGATATTTTGGAAATTTTGTGCTCTATTTAACTGTGCAAAGAGAAATATAGCCTCCCGTTTAAATTTTTTACGCAAAAGCGCAATATTTGTTATGATGTCAAACAGCGCCCTCTAGCTACAACGAAAAAAATTGTGGAAACAAAATTTATACTGGAGATCATTAAGGAAGAAAAGCTCTTTTAAACGAGCCCTAGTTTGTTTAAATCGCGTAACCTAAACCAGAGTTATCCTTATTTTAATAAAAGCGAATTTAACCTTCCCCCACCACTTTATGTTATGAGATAGAGCAAAATACTCTATATCAAAAAAAATACAAATTTCTCGATGATTACAATAATAATATTTAAAATACCTGTTCACCTGCATATTTTTGAGAAAACCCCTGTTTTCTGATTGGCTCTTAAAGAAACGCCCCCTCGCGGGCATTTTTCGAACTTGAAAATAATTTCCAGCGATTTCTCTTGCTCGATTTCCTTTTATTTTCCAAAGTTATACGATAAGTAGTTTCTGAGATACAGCCGGCGTCCATTCTTAGTTGGCCACCCGGTACATTTATATAAAACAAAGTTATGTCAGTTAGACTATTTATAACTGAGGAGCGGCTCGTCCGATTTTAATGCTCTGTTTTGTTGTATTCGTCTACACCCCGAACAGCAGAAAACTATTAAAACATCAAAAAAAATCCACAAAAAAATACAGGTTGGTCCACTAGTGCGAGAAAGCCCAAAAATTATAAGAAAATGCATTTTCTACGAAAACTTGAAGAGATAGGTAAAAAATGGCATAATACAATTTGATAGATAATTAAATTGTGCATGTGATTCTCGTAAAATATACAAGGTGTTCCATTTAAAATAAACAAGTTATTGCCGTTTAAAGCTAGTAATTATTTAAAATAAATTTTTAGACACTCTGTATAAGATAGTATTTTGTTTATTATTGTAACACAATATCTGATCAATAAATAAACTGCAGTAAATATTTAGTATTAAAAACTTCGACACCGTTGGAGGAATGAAGCCTTAAAATTTTTTCTGCAATTTCATAAAATTAAAAATATTTAAAAATCGATAAGGTTTAAGTGTGATAAACCTTAATCAAATTTACCTTTATTTCAATCGTAGAATTTAAAAATAGAATAATATACAGAGTGTTCCCTTTAAAAAATACAACTATAATATTTTTTACTTATTTGGGACGCTCTGTATCTTGTAAAATTATTTTTAAATTGTAGCTCTAATAGTCTTTCAACGATCCCAAAACTAACAATTCGTAAAAACCTAATCGTTTAGCTACAATACTCCGTATCGTATGTGGTGAACAACCCTGTATACATAAAGATAGAGTTTCAATACAAACCTGAACGTTTTTCGTCCTGGGAAATAGTTTTTATTTCCTCTAAAGCTTCATCTGTTACTAAAGGGGCCTCCAACAACAATCGAGATAGTATAATAGCATCGTGTGAAGCTGACTGAATAAAACTACACAACAAAATGTTGTAACATTCATCTGGCCTTATTCCTTTTCTAAGAGGCGGAATTCTAACAAATCCCTAAATAATTTTTATGACAAATTAAATATTAAGATAAATATACAAAAATGTTTTACCTGCATAATACTATATTCCTCAAATAACCATGCCAGCGCTGTATCAATATTTGAGCGCAAATCGGATAATAAATATGTTAAAATTGCTTCGCGAACAGGACTGCTAAAATTAGATGCAAGAGTTATAATAATTTTCTGATTAAGACCTTTAATTTTAGCTTTATCGCATCCTAAAAGCCTATTCACAGATGAAACGAGCAGACTCTCCTTTGTGTCTTTTGGTAGAGGTTTCGTTATTTCTGCTAGTTTTAAAGATTTGATCTTTGGTGCTTTAGTCTTCTCTTTTTTAGCTATCTGCAAAAATAGTTACTTTAATTCTGGCTAATTCTCTCTAACCTAATAATTAAATAAGAACACATATTTATTTATTAATACAAATTTTAGATCGATCATTCAAAGTAAATAAATATATCGATTTCATAAAAATGTATATCGACAATTAATTGCTACAGATATCAGATAATATCATTATTTTCAGCAGATCATAAATAAAATATTAGTTTACTAATTTAAACTAAAGGAGATAGACGAAAACTAATGTCGGTGTCTGGAGATCAAAAACCACCTATAGATATCAGTTACCGTTTCAGGGTTACAGGGCGTTTTTGAAAAATGTGCAATTTTAAAAAATTGGTGTAGCTTTATGATAAGGAAAATTTTGTGTTTTTATCAAAACATTTGCAAATAATCTTTTTACGTAAAATTTAAGGCTTTAGGTATAATTTTTGTTAAATTGCAATACACAGGTATTTTCAATCTGAAGAAGAAACGACAGAACACATGTCGGTGCGACAGCCTGGCCAATGTGCGGTTCTCTGTAATAATGTCTGTAATAAGTAATGTTAGGCCATTGCCAGAAAGCTACAGGGGAGGTTCAGTTTTTAAGTTGCTAGACTTTGTAAAACAACAGTGACATTTGTGCTCAGTGTTGCCAACCCCAAAAATCATAAGTCAGTAGTTTCCAGCATGAAAAATTGGTAGATTAAAAAAATGGGTAGTTCTATCCTTGTTTATAATATAAATACATATACAAAGATTGGCCCTGTTCCCAGAAGAATCTCTGACTAGTCAGCGCGTTACTTATTGGTTGAAATGCGTAGAAACCTGACTAACAATCAGGTTTCTACGCATTTTAACCAATGAGAAACGTGCTGACTAGTCAGGAATTCTTCTGGGAACAGACCTTATGTACATCAGCTATACAGGGTGCGTCTCAAAAGTGACTCGCCCCTATAACTTTTTTATTTTTTCAGATAAAAATACGATATTTGGTACGTTAGTATAAGACAGAAATTAGGATTGATTGACTTATTCAATTGTTTTGGGTCACTTCCTGTTTCACCGGAAATGACAACAACTTTTGATTTTTAAATGACACTCTCGGTATTTTTTTACTTCATTCGATAGAAAATGACACTCTGAATAGAATGATATATCATATGTCACCTTTTGACATTTTCGCATATGGTTTATTTGAAATTGTAACAAACGACAATTCGACTCGAAATACCAAGTGTGTGGTACCAAATTATTCGTAAAAAAATGCTTTCTTAAAATATGCTAATGAGCCACCCTAGTTCCATTTGTAAAAGTTGAGATATGATTAAAAATACGATGGGGGCATCTTTTAACGAGCCAGGATAAGAAACTAAAAACATCAGACAGTCAAATCTATTTTTCCAAGGCTCCTTGATTAAAAGTTAGTGTTTTTAACACATCCGTGGCACTCTAGATTGAAATTTAAAATACGATATTTTTTAAAGCGAATTTGTCAAAAATTGACATATGATATGTCATTCTATTCAGAGTGTCATTTCCTATCATGGGTGCCATTTAAAAATCAAAATTTGTAATTATTTCCGGTGAAACAGGAAATGACCGAAAACAATTTAATACGTCCAATCAATCCTAATTTATTTCATATACTTACATACCAAATCTCATTCTTTTACCTGAAGAAATAAAAAAGTTATAGGGGTGAGCCACTTTTGAGACCAGGCCGGTATAAGAAAAAAAAACATAAAGCAAGCACAAATATATGTACGATTGCAAGTGATGTTTCAAATAATGTAAATAATGTGTAAACAAATAAAAAAACTTATAAACTGAACAAAAATAACTGAAATTCAAAATCTTAAATAGTTGGCACAGACTAACCACACAGAATAACAAATGGAAATATGAAAATTAATGAAATTATATTTTGTTGAATGCGCCAGACTTAATTTTTCAGCCAACTTTATTATATAGGAGAATTTTACAGCGGACCATCAGAAAAATAGCCTGTATTACTACTTACTAGATCCTCCCGTTGGACAAACTATATGCATGCGGAAACGTTATTAGTCAGCGGCGTAGCGTGACGTCAATACAAGGGGAAGTAATAAGTAACTGCAATGAACGTTTTACCAACACAAAAAAGTTTTTTTCTTTTTTTTTATTAAAGCCTTTAATTTTGAAGTTGCAAAAATAAAATATACAAAAAATGTAACAAGTTAAAAAAATAATCAAACCAATTTAAAAAAAACTAAATAACTAAATTCAAGTAAAAAAAAAACAAAGCTGTAAACGTATCTGTTAGATAAAATAGTAGACAAGGCCAACAAAAAAAGTTTATTAAGTGCCTCACAACTCACAACCATATAACCAATGTTCACTTTTATAAACATTTTCACGAAAATGACGAATACAAGATTTTAATTAAGTATTCATATTCAAAATTTGCTTTGGAGATCCTTCTTCAGTAGTTTTTAATTTTTCTGAATACACCATAGAACTGAAGGATGATTATAAAATTATTTCTATTTTACAGCCGCACTCAGAATCGGTTAAGCCTTGGTATCCTACAAAGCGGTAACGTTAAAGAACGGCCGTACTTTAGCGGCCGCTTTTGCCAACGAGTTCTACAGCCGCTTTGACGGTGAATATTGTTGTAAAGTAACATTAAAGGTGCATAAAAATATTGCCGCTGTTCGCTTTGAACCAGTTCAAATCATATAGAAATATAAATTAAACATAGATTTAGGAAGAACAGATATCACATTATGCATTTTAACCCGATCAAACATTCGGAGGTTGACTACGTACTGTAAAAACCAATTGAGATAGAGAAGGCGACATTGCCACATATCAAATTTGCGCCTATCTACTTAGTTTGATTTGCAGAAAAGGTGACTTTAAAACCTTCACCGGATATCAATAAATCTCAATTTCTTAATTAAATTAATAGTTTATTTTTAAAGAAGCATGCGTAATAATATGTTATTAACCAGAGGATATATGCGTTACTATTAAAGGACATGTTTACTGTTTAATGTGCTGAAACGTCTAGAACTATTGGCAACGTCGCTGCTAGTCTTCCAGAATGAAATAAGCCGTCCGTCCCACCACCCCTCGCGACGGCCTATGGTCCGTTATAGCGTACTACGTTTAGCTTACGGTGTGTTTGAAGTCGGAATCAAGTCCGTAGTCAAGTAAACTTTTCAGTGTTTTTCAGTAGTTTTTGTTTTTGTTTAATGTACTTTTGAATCTGCGAATTTTCAATATGGTACGACAGTATCAAATGTGTGGACAAATAAGCTCAAATTACCCGAATTTGTCTTTTCATAGGTAGGTATTGTTTCCGCCGCGCCGTAATCGTACATAGGTGTCCCACAAGGGAGCCTCTCACAATTAAAATAATTTCTAATTATATTTGTTGAATTTTGATCTCTTAAAAAAAGAACGTAGTGGCCGGTAATTGGATTATAATTCGTCTCAATTACTACCTAACTGTTGTAGATCATAACAAATTTGAATATAAACGTTACATTTGAAACTTTATTATAAGCCAGAAAATGACATTTTTTTCTTAAAATTGCGTCCTATTTTAGTCATTATATACGATATTCTAAAGGAATTTTGCTCAACAAATAAACAAAGGTGTTTACCCGACCTTTTTTACATTTTATTGCTTTATTATATCTGCCCCTTCGGCCTTGTTTAGACAATTTTTTACCACCGTACAAATACATCTTCCTAGAGTTATTTGTACGGTGTGTTTAACTTTTTTTAGAATGGGACGAACTGTAAATAATTCTTAGGCTACTAGTTTTATACATACCTATATAGAGAGTGACCCAGGCCTCCAAAAAAGCTTTTTACCTATTACGTTTTTGGTTTTTGATTTTTATTTCTTTTTTTTACATAAGATGGGGGCCATTGTAACGCACATTTTCAAAATATTTTTGTCAACATACAGGGTGATTCAAACCGCAATACATATGCTTAATACAGTTCATGAAGATTAGGACATTTAACTAAAATTTGATTATCTGATGAAGCTACCTTTAAAAGTAAAGGATTTGTAAATAAACGTAATAGGTACTTATTATTATGCGACAGAAATCCCATACTGTAGCACACAGATTTGATACTTTTAATGATAAATGCCTTCTATTGCGAGACTAAAAGGCAATTGCCTCGTATCAGAGCCATCATAATACAAGAAGAAGACCGAAAGTCAAATCTTGTCTTATATTTTCAAAAAAAAACACAATTTTCTCATTAAATATTGATTTTAGGTATAGGAAGTTATTAATAATACAAGATTAAACAACTATTACACAGTACTTCACAGGAAGCTATCGATTGCGAACTAACTAAATCGTTACTAATTAGGTACTAATTTTGAAAAGTTCTTTTTAAGATAAAAAAAGGTAAAACTAAAACCTAAATTATAATTTGAGATTAAACGGGAAGTTCTAAATAATGTTGCCTATTCTAAACAAGAAAAATGTATTTATAAGTTAAGTTTTATAACATTCCTAATTAAATTTGGGCGAAAAGGATATTTCTGTTTGCTGTAGGTAATTTTCTCAGGGAAAATACGTAAATAAAAATGACTTTTTAAGTCAAAAAAAATCATAAGGACAAGTTATTCTAAAAAAGGACTGTCCTTTTCAAAAAAGGGCAAGTGGCAACCCTAGGTATTTCTGGAATGGAAATTTAGTGGCAAATCTACAACTTTGGTTTGAAAATATGTTCCGGCCACATATGTTTACAAAAATGTCTAAAATGTGCTTAAATGCCTCCATATTCTGAAAAAAAAATGAAAGAAGAGTCACCAACCACAAACCTAATATAGAACTATTTCGGAAGCCTGAGTCACCCTGTAAATCTTCAAAAGTAACTGAAAGTTTAAATTGAAAATTGACGTTGGAGCGATTTTCGAAAACTACTAACGTTTCAACATAAGTATATGTGGGATATTAATTGTATTATTATATTAGACCTTATAACAAAACTCATCTGACGAAAAAGTGTTAATGTAGTATATTAATATGGAGTAAAAATTTTACTAATTACTTTATTTTTACTTTACTAATTCGTTCCAAAAAACGATACGCCACTGGCCATTAGAACAATCCAAATGTGCCTAGTTGCTGGGGTCGGAAATTTTAGACTTCTCTGTCTCTTCTGTCCTTGTTTGACACATTGGAATGTTTGATACACTACCAACGAGTATTTATGAATGAGATGTTCGGTCTATCTTTATAATGTCTTTGAAATTAAATAAATACTCTGTTACAATTATATAATATTATTTATTGTAAAATATTTATTTTAGTTTCTCTACGGTTCAAATTAAATATTGTCCACAGTCAAAAAACGTGCTTGCAATTGCAATATTCCGCCGTACAGAGCGACCGCTTCAGAAAATAACCTGCGTTTTTTTTCGAGCTGAACGCTTTTGAAGAACACACACCGATTTGTAAGTACATACACGGTTTTTAGCGGCGCAGCTCGCCGTTAAATTACGGCCGCACTTTAGCGCTACCGCTTTGTAGGAAACCAAGGCTTTATCGGTATCGCAACGATATTATTTATTTTATACGGCAAACGGGATGTGTTTCAAAACCGCATCACCCACCAACTAAGGCTAAGAACATAGTGGAGCGACGAGGATAGGGGCGAGCAAGCAGCGCGACATTGCGTCCAAAACAAACCTGTGAAGGCAAGTACGTGTGAACATAGTAAAGGCGATCTGCTCGAGCGGTTAGATCGGGCGGCGAGATCGATTCAAATAATTTTGTTTTCGTCGCTCTGTCGCGCTGTAGAAAATTATGGATTCCTAAAAATTAATAGATTTAGTATTTGTAAGAGATATTTTATGGGGATCAGAAAGATAGTAATCGCCATAACCGGTACATTTTAGATAAGTTATGAGATGAAGTAGCAACAAATTTTCGTAAACTCCGGTTTTTGAAAATTTCATGTTCACTACACCTTCTAGTTTGTTGGTTTTGAATCAACCAAATGTTTGCAACACTACTGCCCAGAATTTTAGCCCACTGTTAACATTTTAAATTATCAATAAGCAAATGAAAATAATAAATTTGCACAAGTACTTTGCTATTTCTCGCCGCTCTACTATGTTTCAGCACCTCAAGGCTTGCTCGACGCGTTATCGCGCTGCTTGCTCGCCGCTATCCTCGTCGCTCCACTATGTTCTTAGCCTAAAACAGCGAACGGAAGACGTAATCGCGGCCGGAAAGTTCGCTGATCCCGGCTCGCGTTTGACGGCGTTCAAGATGTAGCGAGGACAATCGCATCATCAAGCTGTCGAGATATTTTTATTTTTAGCGTTTAGTGTAAGGTCTTAGCAGTATCTATAAAGCTTGGCCAATATTACTACACAATAAATAATTCAAATCGAATTTAATTATTTGAATAAATTTACGAGAGAATTAATTATGAGAATTTTAATTTATTATAGGAGTGCTCAGTGACTTTTTTAAATAAAAACGTATTACAATATTTTGAAGGGATGCGACGCATCACCCGCATCAGTGGAAACTTCGCCGCTGTTATTAGTTCATAAATACGTATTATGATACTTTAACTGTCAAAGTTATCAAAATAATGCCTCCCTTAATACCGCTTACTGTTGCCATCACTTGAATATAATAAATTTATATATTGGCTTAGTACATCCATTCTGAATAAAAGTATGCCCAGAATAATTTTAATCAAATTGTTAGTTTTTTGTTCATACATATTTTAATATTCCAAGATTCCATACTGATTTGTATGTTGTAATTAGCGATGGGAACTATCGAATGAATTAGACTATCGAATGTTTAATGAATGAATGATTTCAACTATCGAATGGTTTTATTCGAATAAAATCATTCATTCATTTGTATACTAAAGCATATGTGACAACCTCGCCGTGCGACTAAATGGTTATCGTTGAGCCACGATTATCGAATGCTTTTGATAAATGAAATTTAGTATTCGTTTGATTTTTGTATGTGTCAGTGCATTATTAGTTCTTCCAAATTTTTATAACTTCGCCGTATAAATACTGTGCTATTTTTGCGTTTATTAAAATAGTTAAAATACTAAAATAGTAGTTATTTTTTAATTTTATTTATTGACGATTGTGTGCATGTGCAGGTGGTCAAAATTTTTCCGAAAATTTGTGTGGTTTTCCGTAGTCCGATCTTTCAATTATTTAATTTGTGAGAAAATTAAAATGAAAGTTTTACACATGCCAATTTAAAAAAAAGTTAACGATGTTTGTATTTTGTTTATGCTAATTCTCTTACATGTAGTTTTTTGCGAAGAAATATTTCATTTATTTTTTAAAGTAAATGCCAGTAAAAGTAAATATAATTTTTAAACAGTAATATAAAGCACCTAATATAAATAATTTTGATTTCTAATTTTTTATTTATATTTTTCTTTCATTACACTGTATGCTTAGAAAATTAATAAATGTTTATATTTCATGATATTAAAATTTGTTGTTAATATAACAAATTAGTTCTGTGATTATTATTATTATTTAATAAACCAACGTTTATTAAAAATTTAGAGACTATATTATTTTTAAATAGGATCAAATATAAATAATTTTGACATCTAATTTGTTGTTTATATTTTGCTACTACTTAAAAAAATATTTATATTAAATGATTTTAAATTTTGTTGTTAATAGGTATAACAAATTATTACTGTTATTATTATTTATTAAACCAGTCTTTGCTTAAAAACATTAAAAATCATTTTCCCACATCCAAAATAACAAGTATTATTGCAGTGTAACAACAGAATATTAATAAAAAAAATGCAGAATATATAAACATACTATCCCTAACTAAAGTCAAACAATAATATTCTTTGCTAATATCAACTAATATCAAAATATGGCAACAGCGCCCTTCATAATGTATTTTCTGTGTAAATACTAGCACCTCAATAAAAAAAATAATGTGTCCTTATCTATATCTGACTCCGCAAAAAATCAAAGATGCCGGCTTCTTTCATAGCATTGCCACCGACCGCTGTCGGGTTTCTCGGAAAGAAACACAACTAAAATTCAGTTAATATTTTATTATAATCGATCCTGACGAATAAATGAATTTCATAAATGAATGAATTTTATAAATGAATGGTTTTTGCTGCCGAATTACTAGAATACAATATTTCAAGGCAGATGACGGATCTATTCGATAATTTTTATTCGAATAGTTTTCAACAAATGTTTTCTTACTATCGAATTATTCGAATGAATTGCAACTATCGAATGTTTCAATAGTATTCATTCGATAGTTCCCACTACTAGTTGTAATGTAATTACTGATGTTTTTTACCCAATATTTATCGATCTATCTAAATACAAATAAGTAATAATAAGAAAAGAAAAAATAAACTAAATCTAAATATAAATATATACATACCTTTTCTTCCTTTCCCTTTGGCTCGTCTACCTCTTTATTATCCCTTTTTCTTTTATTTGACTCTGGTTTTTCAGGTATTACGTCTACACCTGGCCCAACTTTTGCTTCAACAAATTGAACAGCTAATGCACCTGCAAGATGTTCTTTTCCAATTCTTCCGCTCGATACATATTTAGAATAATCCTTAGCAAAGCTTGCTGGCATTGTCAAAGGTAGTTTTGGAATATTGGTAATAATTAGATAAATTGCCTTTTCAAGTGTTAAATTATCTAGAATAAATTTCTCATTTACATCTTGGGGAGACAAAGGAGTTTGATTGCTATCGTTATCTTCCAAGTCTACTAAAAGCAAAGGATCAATTCTAGGTTTTTTAGACAGTTGTTGTGATAATGCATCTAATCCCAAAGAACGTTTTTGGTACTTTCGACGATCTTCAATTTTCGGCAGCATTTTATTAATATCATTCTGAGAACAACCTAGAACGTAAAAAAATAATTAAATTTGTACAGTGTAAAAGAATATATCTTACCTAAATCTAATAAAAGGGGGGTCAATCTATTAATATAGTCGAAAGAACCAGGATATTTAACTAATCCTGAAAGCTCAGTTTTTAGTTTCTTTTTAACTGAACTAACTTGTGTGGTAGTTAAGGTAGGGGGTAAATTATTGTACAACGACTCTAATGCATCAACAACTCTTTTCATAAATTCGGCTCTATTTTTTGCAATGTTAGTCAAAACTCCAATACATGCCAACAAGTTGGCGCTACTAATATGTGGGGAACCATGAAATTTTACCAACAATTCAAAGAGATTACTAAAAAAGTATATCAATTAATTATAATTTGAATAATTTTTGAATTGAATTTAATTATATTTTCTTACCTAGCTTCTTCCTCAAGCTTCCTCCTTCTAGCAATTTTTAAAGTTAAAGGTACATTATCTAGTGAAAAATCATTTGGTTTTTTACTTTCGGCTTCATCAGGATAACTTTGGAGTAAAACTACACATTCTAGAAATTTTACTGAGCTTGTTCTTATACCATCATTATCACTATCAATCATATTAGCTATCTCTAATTTAATAGTATTTAGTTGTTTCCAACATTCTTCCATTTCATCCGTAATATTTGGAGCTCTACACAACCAAGCTAAAGTTCTTCGATATATAGAAATAGCAGCTTGTATAACTCTTTTTTGGACAGGTACTGATTCATCACATAGAAGCATATGTAAAGTTACCATAATTTGAGGAATAAAGTTTTCACGAACTTTGCTGAAAATATCTTATTAGTCACAATACGATGACATACCATATACATTTTTACCATAACTCCTCTATGAATCCTACCAATGCCCTTTTAACATCCTGGTGTTTTTCAGTAGCAAAGTTTAAAATATTTATTAAATATTTGGATAATAAATTAGGTGATTTGTACAACAACAACTCTTTAATTTTTGCAAAATAATGAACCTTTTCTGTCGACTGTTGAGCAATAAGGGCATTATTTATATTCTCTACAATCTAGACAAAATCTTTAATAAATTATATTCATATAAAAACTATGAATACCTACTAGTTCTTCATCAGACATGGTTAAATTATTTTCATAAATTTTTGTTCTCAAATGTTTTTTTCTGTACTAAACAAAATACACAGTTAAGTGTATGTCTCAAGTATGTATGTATTCTTCCGTTGTTACTATTATTCCGTCCACAATGGGTTTCTCATATTATTTATCTTTTGTATTTCCAATCTCCAAAAAATTGTTATCTATTTCCTAGAAAGCTGAATACAAAAAATGAAAAAATAAATGTCTTCTTTTTTAGGTTAGGTTGTTTCATATAAGGGCTTTTCGGAAACTGTGATCTGATTGATCGGATTGATAGGATTACTAAATCCAGACGTTCGAAAAGTGATCTCAAAACGAGTCAATGCGTTCGGAAAGTGATCCGAATAACTCGATTTTTGTCATATGTTGTGATCCTACCATAGAAATAGAAGGGATAGAGAATGAGCGTCAACATGCGCAGAAGGTCTAATGAAGTTGGGCGCCATATTCCAGGTCTTCGTGTCATTTTGTATATAGGTGGTAATCTATAAGTAATCAAATATCAGTTTGCTGTTTTCAACCATACGGGGGGCAATTTAAATTTAGTGAAATTCTATCATTTATTATGGTTAGTTAACATTAATATGATTTATTTAATTATCAGTTTCAAAACTGCGTACAATATTGGTATATAATACACTAAATATATGAATATTCTGACAAAAGACGCTACGGACAGATGACCTTTTCGTCGTTAAACACTCGAAATGATATTAACTACAGAAAAGTGGTTTAAACATTTAGATTAAAATAGCCAGGCATAATGAAAGAATGGAACTTGATAGACAATTCTGAAAATTTTCATCACAATTGGTAGATAAAATTGATATATTTTTTTATTATTAATATGATGGAATGTTTATTATGTTGGCAGTGATAAATAAATGATCAAAATAAAAGTTTATAGTGTTTTTGTTTTTAAATGGCATAATTTTAAAAAGCCTAAAATAAAACACATTTTGTTTTTATAAAAAATAGTCTTACAGAAACTAAAAGTATACTTAAAGCAAAACAAATAGGATAAAAATAGATCTTATACAATCGTTAAAGAGGGATATTAGGATTATTTGTTTAATTTATCTCTTTTTACGAAATATATTTAAATGTGATTGTTAACCCGGTAAATCTAATGATCCAACCGTTCGTAATTAAACTACCAGCTGATTACTCTCAGCACTGATCTTGGTACAGCTGATTTTAGTAAACTACCTAATCTAGGATTTTATTTCCGAAAACCCCTATAACCATATAACAGTGTTACCAAAAGTGTTTTCATAAAAATCAGTGTTGCCCTGTGTTGCCAACTGTTAAGCGCTTTATCCCACCTTGGTCTGTTTGAAAATGACAAAATTTAAATTTGTCTTTTTTTGTGGGCACAAATTTCGCTAGAAGGGAGCATCATTTTTAAGATGCTACAAGGGCTAAAAATCCATTACCGTAGCTGAATTCCGTATATTTCGTAGTTGTTTTGACTAAATATTTCTCTATCGGTCTGCAGTAGTCTTGGGAGATAGTTATCGATGTTTAGAAACATCGATCTTTTGCCAGTGATGTTCGATGTTTTAACGCCAGAGCCAAAACAAAGAGTGACACTCCAGCAGGGTTCGGAAGTAGTTAATTAAGACGTAATATACCTGATTAACTACGTGTAGTTTTTCTTCAAAAACTATGTCTTTTCCCAGGGGCGGATACAGGAATTTATTTTAGGGGGGACCCAAAATAAAAAATAATATAGAATATGCTTTTAAGATGCCATTTTTAACAAAAAAAAGCCTAATTAACATAATTTACAGATTTTAGGGGGGGGGGGGCCGGGCCCTATGGGCCTCCCCTCTGTATCCGTCACTGTCTTTTCCCGTTCATTAACTACAGCCTACAGTGACTTTCTGGTGCCAGACTGCCAGGATGCTGTCAGGTTTTGCTGTCAACAGCCGTGGCAAACTTTATGTTTGTTTATATTTTGTACTTTTCTTCCTTTTTTTCACTGAATGATTTTCTAGGTTACTTATATCACAACTTAGTTTCATTTATAAATTTATAAGATTTTTATATACAATGTACTTATTTAAAGTTATTTTAACATTTGTACTTAGCTGTTCTCCCTGTTTGTCAGATTGCGGGTGTAATATTAACCGTAACGGACAGTGCAATAAAGAGGAAAATGAAATCAAACCACACAATAAGTATGGTAGAGAAATAAATTCTAATGGAGAATTTTCTAAAATGAATTTTGAAACCTCAAATATGGTGCTCATTAAACATGGTATATTTGAGATGGGAACTAATAAACCAATGTTTGTTTCTGATATGGAAGGTCCAGCTCGTAATATTAGTATAAAGAAAGATTTTTATTTAGATATATTTGAAGTCTCCAATGAAAATTTTTATGACTTTGTGCGAATGACAGGATATAAAAGTGAAGCAGAGATTTTTGGTGACAGTTTTATATTTGAAATGTCTTTAGCAGAAAATCAGAGAGACTCTTATGAAGATGTTCGAGCTGTAGGAGCACCTTGGTGGATTAAATTGAAAGGTGTAACGTGGAAACATCCTGAAGGACCAGACTCAACTATTGAAGGTATTTTTATTTTCTTGTTGAAGAATTCTTTGAAAAGTGTAAACCCTATAAAGTAACTGATGGTTTAGACAGAATGAGTCATCCAGTTGTTCATGTTTCATGGAATGATGCAAAAACATATTGCCAACATTTAGGTAAAAGGCTTCCTACTGAAGCGGAATGGGAAATGGCCTGCAGAGGTGGTTTAAAACAAAAATTATATCCATGGGGTAACAAATTGAATCCTAATAACCAACATTGGTAATTACAGTCACAATTTTTCTCCAAAAAATTAACTACTTAAATTTTTGTTATAGGGCTAATATTTGGCAAGGAGAATTTCCTAAAACTAATACTGGGGAAGATGGTTACATCTTCACTAATCCAGTTAATGAGTTTCCACCAAATAAGTTTGGTCTATACAATATGGCTGGAAACGTTTGGGAATGGACAGAAGATGATTGGCAAACTGACCCTGAGGTATTTAAATAGACTAGTGTTGGGAAAATTCGAATTAAATAATACGACTAATTTGATAGTAAATTAAAACTAACTAATTCGAATTATCTTTTTTGATATAATCGAGATAAAAATTAGTAGTATTTTATATTATATCTGTGGTAACCGAATTACAAATGAACATAAAACATAACCTCTTATGGACAAATACGAATATTAGTAATTAGTATAGTGCTATTAGTAGTATTCTTTCTTTCGGAACGAACTGAAAATTTTCACTTAAACTGATTTATAAAGGGAAGCGACAAAGAAAGGAACGATTCGATATAGAAAAATTCAGAAATCATTGTTATTTCCTATACCCCGTAGAAATAAATCAGTTTAAGTGAAAATTTTCATTTCGTTCAGAACGAAAGAATACTACTATTATTTGGTTCATTTCCATCTCACCCAAATTTCACCGAACACTAAAATTAATTTTCTTCTTTTATCTAAATAATTATTGATTGCAACTGAAAGAATAAAAAAAAATACGACTATACGGACATACTTATATCGTTTTAGAAGAAGCTTTTATTTTAGATATGAGCTTTTTTCAATAGGAATTGAAACAATCATAAACTCGGCACATTTAAATTTAAAACTTTAAATTATGGTTTAATTTATTAAACAGCTTCGGCACAGTTAATAGAATACATTGAATAAAGAATATTTTTTTTATTTCTTATTCAGTGATAGAATATAGGTATGGCAATGGTTCAGAATTTGTTTAAAATAGCCCCTAGACGAGTACTATCTGGGACGAATTTATTTTTAGGTTAAATTTATAATACTACTAAATAATTCGAATTATTAATTCGATTGTGAAATATGAATTATTATTAATTATTCGATGGTGAAAATAATTCGATTATTCCCATCACTAAAATAGACTAATGTCACATACATATAATATAATATGTATGTCTATGGAGGGTAGAGGTAAGGAGGAAATCTTAAGATGGCGCTGCTGTAGCAAAAGTTCTACATTTGAAAGAAGCACCTAAAAGTTTTAGAACAGGAAATAATTAAAAAGAGATCTATCTCTTTTTAATTATCTAATTTTTCACGTTCCGTCGTCTTTTCATTTCTGAATTCTGACGGCGCGTGTTGCCTCTCTTTTTGACTAACTTCACTTTATTAATAACCATTAAGTTCAGTTTGCTGTCTTACTGCTTATTAGCGCCACTGTGATAATTTAGTGAACCCTTATTCTTCCCATTTTGGTGACTACTTTTTCAAATAAAGTCTCCCATAAGAGATGTTTCTCCTTACCTCTACAAGGCCCATACCCTCCACAAGTATGTCCAATAACTCGGGGAAGATTTTGACAGACGACATCCAAAAAATGACAGAAGATAATTTGTAAAAACTGGAAATCATCCTTTTTTATAAAAATTTGTATATACCTTATTTTGATGTTGTAGATCACAAATCTGAATTTTTGTTTGGCGGTCTCTTTCTGTTTTTCAGAAAAATCCAATAACATAACAAAATGTAATGTTTTAAAATTTCTCCCATTTTTAATGTTTTCTCACACTCGTTTTTTGTTAGGTATTCAATAAACATTCAGGTTTTTGCTATTTCCTGTTACTTTCTTAGCCAATTCTATAGTAGGCAAATCAAATTAGAGTGTTCACCTGGACAAAAGTGTTGGAAACCTAATTATCGTCTTGATTTGTTCAGTTGACAATTATCCTAGTTTTGCACGGTTGCTCGACCGCCGCTCGACTCAGGAGGACCAAAAGATGATAAAATTCTTGGACTTCTTTCAGATTTTTGCCTATAGTTCCGAAATATTGCATTCTAGCCAATATTTCAGTATTACAATAATTAAAGATCATTAAATTCTGCAAGTAACGAGTACCAATTCGTTCAATTCGGTCCAATAGTAGGCAGAAATGATCAGATGTGAAAAATATTTATGTCTTGTGCTGATAAACGTTCGTCACACGGAAACGATCATTTTAACCCTCAACTGGCGTGGTGGGGTCCAGCGGACCCCAAGCGCTATTTAAACCTCTGTAAAATATTTATGTTTAAGAATTAGGCCTCGCCGCGTCATTTACCTTTAAGTTAGTTTACCTTAGTTTACCAATATTGTCTCTGCCAATATGCAACTGCTAAAGGCGCACTTGATTTTATCAAGTATTGTTCCTACCAGCGGTGGGTAAAGTTTCATTGAGGTCTGTGTGGCACCACAACGCCAAGAATGTTTCATTATTAGAATGGTGGGTAGTCTAAAAATTGTGCCTCACTAGGACGCTAATTTTGGGGAAGCATTTATTGAGTGGTTTGATGAACTTAAAGAGGCTTAAGTGAGATGAAGATCATCTAGACATTGATTTTTCTCCGAAGAGTAACCATAATTCCGATCTAAATCTCTTACTTATAGAAGAGAGAACACTGGATAATTAATACCAGAAAAGAAAGAGATCTGGTATATGGCAACCCTATGTAAATGAAGAAATGACAAAAAACTCATGAATCAAATGTGCCCGATCCATGTGCGGCAAATGCAGATCCTATATTAGCATGAACCAAGCATGAACTGTATTTGAAAAAGTTATGTACATTCAAGGTTGGCAGTTTTTTTGAAAATAATTTATGTTTATTACTTTAACTTCACATTTCAGTTGTTTGCACTTTTAATAATATGGTAAAATCATAAAATATATATGTTTTTAATTTCTATGGGTTTCTTAGCCAAATTATATATCTGTTGTCAAAAATTCCTAAAAAAGGCGTTTTACTTTATTTTTGTGTCCATTCTTATTAATTTGTTGAAAATTAATGAAATTGTTTGTTCACAAGTTTGAATATATTGTAAACAATGTTAAAATAACAAGCTTTTTATAAAATTTCTTCATCGTGTATTTTTAACTGAAAAAAAAATTGGGGTCCGCCGAGACCCCAGCATGCTATAAGCGTTACAGAAATTCACCACGCCAGTTGAGGGCTAAATAATAAACTATACAATAAAAGTTACAAAGCATCAAATTAGCATTTTACATCAAGTAATACATGTAGAGAAAAAAAAATTACGTTCCGTCGTCCAACAATTCTGCGTAGAATGAGTATCAATTCGTTCAATTCGATTCAGCAGCATAGCTAAAATTGATGCTTAAAAATAGTTACTTTTGCCAGTTTTGCCACTTAAAAAGAGCATTTCTTATTTAAGGTCTATTAGCATGTTCCATAACAAGCTAGATGATAAAGGATTTATTGTAAAAGTAGTAGAGGCAGATGCTGATAGACTCACTGTTACCACTGCAATTGACTTATCACTGAGTTATCCATCAGTAATAATTGTTGGAATAAACACAGATCTGTTGGTCTTACCTACAGCATTAGCACATACCGCCTCAAAGATTGCGCTAATGAAGCCTGGGAAGTAAGCCGTAAGCAAGGATAAAATTAGGGTATTACCTCCGAATTCTTGACACCCTCACCGATTGACGTGAAAATTTAACAGTGAATAGAGATATATGTCAGAAACAAAAGTTACATAGTAGCGATGTGTGCTTTCACTCTGGGGGTGAGTGCCATCTCTTCTCGGGGGTGAAAAATAAATCACTCATTTTAATTGCAAAAATCAATAAAGGAATGAATTCTAAGCAAAAAATGTTCTATAACATTTTTTCAGAAAATTAAAATTTTCCGAGTTATTTAGGATTGAAAATGTTGATTTTTCATCTAAAAACTGCATATTTTTCTGCCATTTTTTATAAATAACTCGAAAACCTTTCATTTTATCGCCAAACTCATATAAAGCAAAAATAAAGCTTTTAGAATAAGGAATCGATAATTGCTGATTACCGTAGTAGTAATAATAGCCGAGTTATCACTCTGTAAAAGTGATTTTTTATTTTTCGAAAACTAAAAATTGCAAGCTTTTACCGTAAAATAATGACGAAAGAACACATTTTTGAAGAAAATGAATATTACCGTCTTTTAAAGTGCTTGAAAATGCTTTTTTATAAGGTCTTCAAGTTCGTAGCTCAAAAACTCGCGGAAAAAATTAACAAACCCGGAAAAAAATTAACAACAAAAATAAAAACTGTCAATTTGTAGGAAATTACACGAGCTACAAATTAACCTCTATAGTTGAACAGTCTTAAACTCTTCATTTTTACAAGATGTTTGGGTTTTAATGGCTCAAAGAAGGCGGTCCTTACAGGCAAGTCAAATTAAAAAAACGTAATATCTAGGAAATAAAGAGATCTACAGAAAAATTGAAAGAGAGCAAAAATATTGCAAAAGAAAAGACCTTCAATATTACTCTGTTGAATTTTTTACGTATCTTGCTTAGTTTTTGAAATATGTCAAAAAAATTAAATTTTTTTAAAAAATTATTTTTTTTTCATTATTTTCAACTTTTTTCCAAATTTAAGCATTCTAAACCATTCGAACTTGCAGAGTCCATTGTTAGTACCTAATTATAGCCAATTGTACATGTATTACGCTTAGTTTTTATTTTTATGATTTTAGTCATAGATTTTGTTGTTAATTTTTTTCCGAAAAAATGAGGTGACCACTTTATTTTTATCATAACTCCGCGAGTTTTTAAGCTGCAAATCTTTTTAACAAATAGTTTAAAAGGTCTTTTCAAGCACTTTAAAAACGGTTATATTCATTTTCTTCAAAAAATGTGTGCTTTCGCCATTATTTTACGGTAAAAAGTTACAATTTAGTTTTCGAGAAATAAAAAATCATCTTTACAGAGTGATAACTCAGCTATTATTACATCTACGGTAATCAACAAAAAATTAATTGTCTAGTTATTCCAAAAGTCTCATTTTTACTTTATATGAGTTTTGCGATAAAACGCAAGGTTTTTGAGTTATTTATAGAAAATATGCAGTTTTTAGATGAAAAATAAACATTTTCAATCCTAAATAACTACGAAAATATTAATTTTCTAAAAAAAGTTATAGAACATTTTTTGCTTAGCTATCATCCCTTTATTGATTTTGGCATTT